GGAGTTCTCTACTTTCACCCTTGATGCTGGTCTGACCTCTTCCTTCACTGATCCATTGTGAATGATCCAGGGCTTTACATGTCAAAAGCAAAGAACTTTGAAGAAAAACGTAAAGTATCTTATGTTTTCCATCAAAATAGAATTTTACTTAAAACATCTGCAGGTGTTAAGGCCAGGGTAGAATCAGGGCAAATCTGGAGGCATTCACTATCCCTTGCCTTCTACAGCTTGTAGATGAGCTCAATGGTGTGGTTTCACAGGGAGGAACCCTGGGAAGCCTGGTCCCAAAGTAAAGCCTGCATTTGGAACCCAGCTGTCAGGACAACGCCTTCTACAAGCTGGTCAAAGGTCTTCTGAGGGAGCAGACTTCCCAGCATGACAAGTATTCTTGTAATAGCCGACTCTACCTAACTCCTAGCAGCTTAGAGAAAGACCAGTTCTTGGAAATGGCCAAGACATCACAGGCTTGCACAGTTAGGGAACCTATCTAAGGGGTTCACTGGGGAGCTAGGGAACCTGCTTGAGGGGCTTAGTAGGGGAGAGGGGGAGACAGGAACATGCACAAGACATGTATAAAGCAGTTGACCTAAGGCTGACTGATGCTGGTCAATGTTATACGCCATTCATTACCTGTTTTCACATATTCAGAGGTGACTTTCTTATAAGATTTAGGAGAAGGCTTCATTTAGGGACACTACATATTTCTTGTTCTCTTTGTCTTGCCAGTCATGCCCACACTTTTCCTCCAAGTCCCACTTGAATATGAATACTGATTTCCTCTAAGAAACAGTCCTCAGCCCTCTTTTCTTTCCTTGTTGTCTCAGGGAACTCATCCCAACGGCTCCAACTCTGGCATTCTACTGATGGCTCCTTAATGGACATCTCTGAAACCCTTGTCTAGTCTCATCCACTTACTCACATTTCTTCCTGACATTTAAGCAGTGACCATAGACTATCATCAATGCAAGCTCAGCAGGTCTCATACTTGGTTTTTCAGCTTCTCCAGACTGCTTCCCTTTTACCAGCACTCCTATTTCCATATAGACATTCTCTGATAGAGTCGCTGATTCATGAACTTTCAGAGTTCACCTATAAGCCATCCATTTCTTTCTCATACTATGTTGAGTCCCACTAATTCTGTGGATTGTTTCTTTTAATCTCTCTGGACTATTTCAGTTGTGACAAATCCCTAGCCCAACCTCACTCAGTCACAAAAAGGAGTTTATTGTCTTGCATATCTGAAAAGGTGGACCAAGTTCATCATAAGATATTTTCAGGAATTGCCTGTCTCCATCTGACTGTTTTCTTCTGTATTTTCCGAGTCATGCAAGCTTTCCTCTGCAGTATCAAAGGTACATGATGAATGCTTTATGCTCCTTATATGACTAAACAAATTCCTATTCATTCCTTCTCCATTTTTTATCAATAAAATTCAGTTCTACTGGCCTCCTTTTAATGCTAAATTATGACATTCCAGAGCCCAACTTAAAACAAACAAACAAAAAAAACCCTAAATCTTCACATTTAACAAAAAAAAGAGTCTACGAGATGGGAATGTTCTCTGTCCAGTAAGCTCCTTCAAGGAGAGGGACCTTTCTGCAATACACAACTTGTTCAAAAACTCTGAGTCCATGAGATATTAAGCTGATAACATTCATCAGACTAGAAAGCTTGTTTTACTGGAAAGTACAGAAACTTTTGTGGATTTCCCAAAGTGTTATCAACTTGTTCTGTTCAGTTTTTGGAAGAATAATTTAAACAAAGAGGTTTAGTAAAACTACCGACTTAAAAAATGTGACAAGTTGTGAAAACAATCTTAAAGGTTACTTCCACATCTGGTTGCTTATCTTACTTGTATATTATCCTGTTAATGTTGAAAACGTTAACCTCTGAGTTGTCCAAATCCCTATACATCCTTATAAATATTTTAGATTTGTGTGAACCATAAGGTTTGTCTTACATCTATTCAATTCTGTCGTTGAAGCACCAAATCAGCCAGTAAGCAAATGGGTATGGCTGTGTTACAAAGCAAATTTATTTATGGACATTGAAATTTGAATTACATATAGATTCCATGTGTCATAAAATATTCTTTTCTGAGTTTTCAAGCATTTTAAAGCATAAAAACCTTTCTTATCTTCCATCTGCATTGAGTACTCTATCTAGAACTGTAGTTCCCCAGATATTCATATGACTAACTCCCTGATGGCCTTCAAGTCGTTCTTTACATTTCACCTTCTTGAGAGCTTGTTGGGAGGCTCTAGCAAGGAACTGCAGCTACTTGTATATTCTTGACCTAACAATGGTCCTCCTGTATCAAGGAAGGTAGTCTTCAACTGATTGCACCGCTTCAAGAGGGATCCACATGGTGCAGTGAGGTAGGAAGGGAGTCATTGCCTACCCAGCCAGATCAGCCGGATTAACTCTGGTGATCACCAGGGTGACAATGTTGCAGCCAGATGGCCTTCACATCCACATCCACCTTCTTAATGAGGCCTAGCCTGAGCATCCTGTCTAAAACTGCAACTCACATCATAATTCACCCTCTTACTGTCCCCACCCCACTTGTCACCTTTCTTACCTCATTATGATTTCCGAATAGTACTTCTAAAATAGTAAATAATTTGCATGTTTATTATATTATTTAGCTCCCTGTGTCAGATGGTGTGAGGGCAGAGATTGTTGTATGTAAGTTCACAGACACCTTCAAAATGCCTAGAAGTCTGCCTGACACACAGCTGACACTTGAAAACTTTGTTAAGTAATTCAATAGATGGATTACTGGTTTATCAACACCTGATTAACCGTTGAATTGGGGCTCAGATCATTTGATAATAAAAGTTGGCTTCCCCCTCTTGAAGTGCTGAGAAAACTTGGTCTTCAGAAATGGGATTGTCTAAGATTCACTTCCTGTTGTATGCTTGTTGAGGTTTGGCCAAAGGATTCCTTCAAATGCAGAAGAAAATAAAGATGAATAATATATTTAATATAAAACACTAGATATTTATAATCTGCTACACTTCTTTTCCAGAATTAATTTTATTCCTTGCTCCAGTCTGGTGGGCCCCCCTCAGTATTTTGTGTCTGATTCTTCCTTCAACCTCCTCACCCCTGTGGGTAGCCAGGACTGTAGACTAGGGACAGTCTTAAGCAGCTGAAAACTTGGGAATTTGAAACAGAAATATTAAACTAGGAGTAAACAATTTAGTTTTTTGCACTAAAGGGTCAATTTCAGAGAACAAATGGTAAGAACTTCTCTCTCCTACTTTTAAGAAGTGCATTATCTGCAATTGCACGCAGCCACCCCTCTACTATTTCACCTTCCTAACAAGTTCATTTTTGTTCTTCAATTTTGGCTAACATTCATTATATAGCTGCATCTTTGTCAAATTTTGTTGGAAGCAAAGCATTCTTGAACTGGTTTTCTTGATGCATTCTGTAAGCAACTTAATTGGAAAATATAGATTGTCTTTCAGTGTGCCTTTTAACTGTATTTTGACCTAGCAGCATACGTTGTTCTTCTCTCAATTCACTTATTATTTTATAACTCTATTTTTTTTCTTAGTGGTACTGGAGTTTGAACTCAGGGTCTCACTTTTGCTAGGTACGTGCGCTATCACTTGAACCATTCCACCAGTCCTGTAACTCTAAATTATGAGTATTTATTTACACATCTGCTTTTGTAGTTATACTTAAATTTCCTGAAAATAGAGACTACAGTTTACTCATTTGTATGTGTGCTTCACAGATGCTAACACAGTGTGTAATTACCCTCTGCTGAAGTAAAATGAATCATATATAGTTGCTTACTCCCAATATCTCTCCTCAGCTTTCTGTGAAAGGCCTTTTTTTCCCCCTGCTGGCACTAGAATTTGAAAGGTCCTTTCTTCATCAGCACCTGCATTTGTCAGTCATCTCACCAGCAGTCATTCTCTCCCTGTCCTCCAGCCCCATAAATTCTAGCCCCTTTGAGCCATGTTGTTGCTCATTTCTTGCCATTGTACATCTTCCCTCGCAATAAGGTATCATTTTGACTGCACAGTGAATTCCTCGCCATCTTCAAGCCATAGTTCATACATTTTTTTTCATGTTTCCCATTTTGGCCTTTTAAACTCCATGAAGTAAACTCCACGTCTTGCTCATTGAGGCTCTTCAGTATCTGAAAAGTAGTTAGGGACTGGATCAGAAAGGAGCTTAAATATAAACAGTCTTGATTATCTCTAGAAGGCAACGAATGACTACTAAAAGATACCAAGCAGAAAGTTATAGACAGGCTTTTGTTTTTAGAAAATCAGGTTCCTTGTAGTGTGGGGGACTGGATTAGATAAGGCAAGACTGACGCTAAGAAACCAATTACAAAAGAGTCAGCAAAAGTGATGAGCCTGAGTTGAGGTGCTATCAGTGGGGTCAGAAAGAGATTTGAGAGACTGAGACAGAATGGTAGGAGTTGGTGACCAAGTAGATGATGTGACTGAGGGTTTGGAAAAAAGAATGTTTCCCAGTTTCTGACTTCACTCAGTGGTTGGTGATATCTGAAGCTGTTACATAGTATTATCCTTGTATGTTGTCTGCGGATCACTCCCAACTAGTCTGAAAGTATCTCACTGCAGGGACCTTGCTTTTCAGTGTCTGTGTTAGCAGCCTTAGAAAGCACTTATTATATAGGAAGAACAATAAATAAACGAATACATACAAAATACAAAGCAGTGATTCTATGATCTAACGAGGGGTATAGTCGGTAGCAGAAAGCCTGCAGATTCTTTGCTTGCAGTATCAAGAAGCGAAGGACAGGAGGAAACTCGTTTCACACTTGCTTTCTGCCTATTGTACAACCAGGAAGCTGACAATAAAGTTTATTTGAGCGTCGACGTGCGCCGACGTAGCCCCGCCTTCCCAGTGGGAGTCGTGATTGGTGAGCATTTACCGGCGGCCAGCGTCCTTAAGTCATGATTGGTGCGGATCGCTGTCCTTCCGCAGCGTCCGGGCGTCGGCCCGCCCTCTCGCCGCGTCGCCGGTGCCTGCGCCTCCTGCTCCACCTCGCTTCTCCTCTCCCGGCCGAGGCCCGGGGGACCCCAGCGAGAAGCGGGAATCATGTTCCGACGCAAGCTGACGGCTCTAGACTACCACAACCCTGCCGGCTTCAACTGCAAAGGTGAGTCGGCGGCCAGGAGCCGGCCGCTGGCCCGACGCCGGCGGCGGCCAGTTCCTTAGCGCCCCTACCCCGCCTCCCCACCGGGCCCCTGGGCGGCCTTTCTCCTGGGACTCCGGGCGGCTCTCTCCCGGCCGTCGCTGCTCCCCGGTCCCGAAACCCCTCACCCACTCCTGTTTCGGCCTCGCCACTTTGTGCACTTGGCGAACTCCAGACATCCCCGCCCCCGAACACACAAAGGGGAAAGCCTTAGCCTTACCTCCCTCGGCTCCGCGGTTCCCGGGTAGTTCATTGCGCGAGACCTTGAGCACCTGCAGTGCTGGCTTCCGAGGAAGGTGCTCGCGAACTTGAAGAGTTCGGTGCCTGCTAGGAACTGGGGGGCAGGGCGGGAGACAAGTCCGAAAGCAGTTTGCCATCCGGGCACCCAGAATGAAGGGTAACGTGTAGGAATGGGCTAGGGATGCGGTTCGTGCAAAAGTTAGTAGCAGATGAGCCGGGAGGGTGCATTGTAAATGCAAAGGTGTTTGGGGTTTTACAGCATTAATTAGTGACGCTGCTGCTCACCCTTACTCAACTGTGCCCATCGCTCCCCGCTTGGCCTGGGGGTGGAAAGGGATCATCAAGCACATACAACTTGCCAGAGTACTCAGCCCATTGTGTAAGACTCTAAATAGAAAATATTCCTAAGCAGGATTGTTTTTTTGATCGTTTGTAGAAACATTCAAATGATAGTATCTTGCTTTTGTACTTTGCCTTTTAAAAAACAGATCAGGGACAATAGAGCTTAGATTTGGATTTTTTGGTTTTTTTGCAGTACTGGGATTTGAACTCAGGGCCTATACCTTGAGCCACTGTATCAGCCCCGTTTTTGTAATGGATATTTTCGAGATAGGATCTCATGAACTATTTGCTGAGGCTGGCTTTGAATCGCAACCTTGGTCTCTGCCTCCTGATAGCTAGGATTATAGGTGTGAGCCACCGGGCCCATTTGAGTTGCTGAGGCCCAATGTTCTGATCCGAAAAGTAAGAATATTACCTACTTCAAAGGGTGTGAGAAGGATTAAGAGAAACAAATATGTTAAATAGTCAGCAGTCGTCACAGTGTCTCCTATCTTTCTTAGATTTCTTACTTTCCTATAAGTTTCCCCGTGCCCAGTCTCCCCTTCTCTCTTAATATCCACTTACATAGCAAGTTTCATTTAATATTCTAAACAACTCTATGAGGTAAGCCCTGTTTTTATCCCCACTGTGTAGCTGAAGCATCTGAGATACAGAAAATGTAGGTGATTAGTTCATATTCAAACAACCAATAAGTGTCTGTACTTAGATCTTGAATTCAGGTCAGGATTTGAATAGACTATTAATGTGTGGCTCCAGAGACTGTACCTTCAATTCCTGCTTCTTTTGGCTCACTTAACTTAGTATTTTTGGGTTAAGAAAATTGCACAAAATCATTTGTGGAGAAGGAAGTATTTCATCTAGTGCTTCTGGTAATTTATGGGTTTTTTTGTTGCAGATGAAACAGAATTTAGAAACTTTATTGTTTGGCTTGAAGACCAGAAAATCAGACACTACAAAATTGAAGACAGAGGTAACTTAAGAAACATCCACAGCAGTGACTGGCCCAAGTTCTTTGAAAAGGTAAACAAAAGTACGCAGAGCTTCTCTACAAGCTATATGAAAATGAGTTTAAAATTCCTTTGTTCGTTTAAGATATATTAATATTACCACCACTGTTAGTAGAGCTGATTTGGGATTTAGCTTTTCTCTTAACTTTTTGATTTTTTTTTTTTAATTTTTAGAGCACATATTATCTCTTCCTATCAAGCTTTCAGTATTTAAAAGTAGTTTCCTTCAGAAACATTGTGAAGTTTCTTAAATAGTGGTATATAGTCTCTAAATGGAAAATTGTTTATATTCATTTAGTGGCCAATGTCAGAATTTTTACATTAGACAGAAAAATGAAGCAATAAAAACATGTTTACCACTATTTTTATATTAAGACATTATTGACATGCTTGAAAACTAAGACCATGTCATGTTTATGCTTATATTGAATGTACACAGGTGTCCCTGTGTATGATAGAATTATTTCTAAAATGTGAAATATTTCCATCATGCTTTGTTAAGGTGGTACACTTAAGTGTTTCCTTTTTGAGCGTTACATAATTGCATCAAAAATTTAATAATATAAATGGCACAAGAAATTCTTAGTGATCCAAGCTCAGGTTTCTTTCAGCTCTACTATTCTTTTAGTTTTGTGATTTTATGATAATACAGTGAAACACTTTTGTTCTTTTCCCTTGACAGTATCTCAGAGATGTGAACTGTCCTTTCAAGATTCAGGATCGACAAGAAGCGATTGACTGGCTTCTTGGTTTAGCGGTTAGACTTGAATATGGAGATAATGGTACGTTTTGTGGGGAATGTCTGTTATTTTGACAAGAGAGAAGATGGGAAAGAGGGAGTGTGGAAATGTAGGAAACTTGCCAGTTTATTTCTTTTACATTGTTTGCTTTTGGTTCATTTTTATCAGGATGTTAAAAGCTGTTCTATTGTCTTTCATTTTCTTGGATTAGAAATGATGGTTTTTGGAGAAGGCTAACTGACTGTCTTCTCAGCAAAGTAACATTACTTTGGTACATTTGCCATCTTTCGGTTAAATTGTTGCTAGTGTCCCAGAATTGATGGGATTTTGGAATGTTAGTTGTAGCATTTATATCAGAGAGACTGAAAAACATGTCTAAGGCCAGTACGCATTGGTACACTGTAGGCCGAGATGTATGTTTCATGTTGAATGTTGTCTTTTCACACATTATTCTGTTAATGGAAGCTTCTGAATTGTCATCTATAGTAAAAGCAATTTTTGGTGGTACTGGAGTTTAAACTCAGAGCCTCAGACTTGTTAGGCAGGTACTCTACCACTTGAGTCACTCTGCTAGTCTTTTTTGTATTGGGTATTTTCGAGATAGGCTCTTGTGGAACCATTTGCCTGAGCTGGCTTTGAACCATGATCCTCCTGGTCTCTGCCTCGTGAGTAGCTAGGATTACAGGTTTGAGTCATGGCAACCATTTCAGTTTTGAAAGGTCCGCCATCTAAATGCAGGATCTGATTTTTCACTTTTATGGTGCTGTCATTTCCAGTCTTTTAATCATTTGCTTCTGAAACCTCGTTGATATGTTTGACTTCTCTTTCTCTCCCCTCCCAGTGATACTCATGGTCTTTTTCCATGTCTGTTGTATTTAGTCTTCTCTGTAACCACTGCTGTCATCCTATTTCAGCCTCTTGTCCCTTTCTGCTGAGATAATTAGTGTCTTTTGAGTAGTCTCCTGTTAGTATCACTCTCTGTTCTCACCTGCATGGTCCACCAACTGACTTTCTGAAATGTGAATCTGTTTTACATGAGATCAGGTGTATTCAGGGTGGTATAGCTGCAGACACATCTGTTTGAGAATATTACTTACTGTTTTCAAAGAACAGCTCCAGTTACATATTTTAAAACATCACGGATTCTCCATTTTCTACAAAGGAAATTTCAAGCTCCTTAGCCTGGGATTTCTAAACATCTAAATTCTATACATCTAAATCCTACCCAACTTTTTAAGATCCAGCTCAAACGCACCTTAGTAGCAGTAATACTTTTCTCTGACTTTTCATAGTTTTTAACTGGGTGCTTTCTAAGCCATTTGCACTTTCATTTTGCTCTGTCTCTTATTTCCCCAGTAAATTGTAAGCTTCCTGTCCTTAAGAAAGCATGGTATCTCTTAAGATTCATTTTGCTGTTGTAACAAATTAGCACAAACTCAGTTACTTAAAACACACTTTGTATATTTTTGGAATCAGAAGTCCAATATCAGTCTCACTGGACTGAAGTTGTCATTTGAGCTGGTTCCTTTTGGAGACTGTATGGGAAAATCTGTTCCTCTGCCTTTTTCACCTTCTAGAGGCTGCCTGTCTTCCTTGACTGACCCCTTTCTCATCTTCAAATCTAGCAGCATAGCATCTTCCAGTCTCTCTCTGCCTTCCTTTCTATTGTTACATCATTTTTTCTTTTGTTTCTCTCCTATAAGGACACTTATAGTGGACCCATCTGGATAATCCAGGTTAATATTCCCATCTCAGGAGCTTCCATTTGATCACATGTGTAAATCCCTTTTGCTATATAAGGTAACAGAAGCATATTCCAGACATTGGACATAAAACATGTCAGGGGAAGGTGGAGGCAGACATTGTTCTGTCTGCCACAGTACCCGACATGGTTTCTTGCACTTAATAGGTCCTTAGCTTCAAAAATTGCTTCCCAAAGGTAGTATCTATGAATTTTTATAACCACTTGTTTATGCCAGCAACCAGTTGCTCTTTGCTGGTGTCTAAGATTTAAATTTCAGTAGCATTACAGCAAAAATTCTAAGAAAAGCTCAATTTAAGATGCTTTATTTTCAGTTTTAGTTTAGAAACTACCTACCTATGCTTTTGTTCCTTTAGAAAATAAGTATATGCCTTGTAGCCTTGGTAGTGTTAATTAATGTGTATGATCTTTAATGTCTTACCTATCCTGCTCCAGACTGATAGGAATTGTATGTGAGCTAGTTTGCAATAAAATATTCTACCTTATCAAAAGTTTTTTTCTGTTCCAAAATAAATTCAGTCACATGTCGATTTGTCTTATCCTTGTTTATTACATTTGTTTCATTTTCATAATTCTCAATCTTCAGTGGTTGATGCCGTCCAGTCATATATCCCAACAGTTGTCTATAAGTACATACATTTATTTCTTAGTAACAGCATGATCTTTTTTAAAGAATAAAAGATGCTTGTGTGTAAAAGTATAGTAAATCTTTTGTATTGGAAAGAGAAATCAACATATAGCAAAAGGTAAGTGGTAGCAAAAGTGCATTTAAAATCTGAACTAGCGAACAAATTTTGTTTAATCTTAATCAGAAGTACAAAACTTGAAAATTGGTTAAAAAATAGTAATGCTATCCCTTTATCAGCAGGAGGCGCTGATGTTCTTTTGAGGTTTTACATTGATTACTGCCTTCTTGACTTAAATAATTTTAAGTTAGTAGAAATCATTGTGAATTTTTATTTTTGTGTGTATCTGTGTCTTATTAAAGTCTGTCACTAGCTTGTCAATTTAAGAGATTAAAATCTGACTTATTTCTTTGTTTTTTTGGTTTATAGAAAAACAAAGAATTTTCATATACCTGCATTCTGAAAATTTAACATTTTACTTCATTTCCTTTTTCTTTCTCTCTGTACATATATACACATAGATCATTTTTTCCTAAACTGTTTGGTAGTAAATTATAAGTCTTTATATTTTACTCTTAAATACTTTAACTTGGTTTTCCTAAAATATACACTAATGAAGATCAGAAAATTAACTTTGATACAATATTATTATCTATAGATGATATTCACACTTTACCAACTGTCCTAGTAATGTTCTTTATAAATCCCACCCCCCCACACACACAAAAAAGTCAACACAATCTTGGATGATGCCTTGCATTCAGTTTTATATCTCTCAGTCTTTCTAATCTGGAACAGTTCCTCAGTCTTTACTCATGACACTGACATTTATTTCATAAAATGTCCCTGTGTTTGGGTTAATGTGATACTGCCTCATGAGTAGATTATATTTGAGTTAGAAATAACACAGAAGTGGTATGTTCTTTAAGGTGCATTATGTCAGGAGGTATGTGTTGGTGATGTGTCCCGTTACTAGTCATGTTAACTTTTGATCACTTGGTTAAGGTTTATTCACAGTTTAGTTACTAGTTTCTCCTCTGTAGTAAATGAGTTACCTTTGGGGAGATAACTTGGAGACTATTTGAATATGCTTTTGCTCCTCAAACTTCCCTCACTTTAGTTCTTGTTTGAGTCAGTTCAGATAGCTGCCAAAAGTTGTTCTCATACCATCATTCCTTCTACATTTATTTATTGGCTTTATATTATGAGAACTTTTCCCTTCCCTTCAACTCATTTATTTAAATATCAGTGTAGATAAGTGGCTTCTTTTATGCAGTGGGTCATGATGCTTTTTTGTCATCATGTATCTTATCTTGATTTTCTGCTGTTCCAGATTTGGCCACTGGGAGCCTCTGTAGGCTAACTCCTGACTCACTTAAATTTTAAATCTGTTTTTTCCTCTTATTTCATTAGCAAATCATATAAGTACTACAGCTTAAGATACATCTTTGACATTAACTTTATTTATGAATTGTTTTTAGGAATTACTATGTATTTTTCAAATGAAAGTAAAAATATACCTTCTGAGTATTGAGTTTCCATGGAATAAATTTGATTTGTATACTATAATACCTTTAGAATTGTTAATGAAAATGTATTTTGGAAAGTATTCCAGTAAGCTTAATGAAAACCCTACAGTCTATCTACTGTTAGATCTTTCTATAGCAAAAAGTAATTTTGACTGTATGAGATGTCTTGTCTTATGCTTGTAATTAATTTGGCTCAGTTAAATTCAATGAATAAGCACTATTTTAAGTTACAGTTCTATAAATTGTATTTTACCTATTTTTATAGCTGAAAAATACAAGGACTTAGTACCTGATAATGCAAAAAGTACTGACAATTCAACTAAAAATGCAGAACCATTGATCAATTTGGATGGTGAGTACATAAATCCATAAAACTGATTGCTTTTGGTTTCTTAAATTTTTACTTTGTAAAATGAAGTCTAGGTTTAACTTGGCTATAATTAAGAATGTTTCATGTAGAGAGTAAACGTGTTGACATTTTATTCTCTGTAATTTTTTTTTATTGTCAGTGCTGTCATCCCTCCCTTCCAGTTTTAATATTTGAATATCATAATTCTGCTCTTTGATTTGTTCCAAGTAATTTGGAAAATTCCTTGGTGTGTAAATTTTCTCTTTAGTCCAGTGACAGTATGAAACATGTTAAAATTTTTCATTATAAAAAAATTTTTTTTCATTATTTTAAGTCCCACATGTCTTTCAGTAATTCTATGCCTATAGGGTATATGAAGATTCTAATTACCTAGATAATGATGTGTTAAATATGCTTTTCACTGGCTGATTCATTGGGACCTATAATTTATAAATTATCCTTATGAATGAATAAGCTTCTTAAACACTCCAGAGCCACTGCTTTAGAGAAAAGGTTTGGGGAAAACCGTCCATTAAAGGGATCTGTGTATTAAAATTAATAGCATTGGGAAGAAATATTAATTAAAAGTGCCACATAAATGGGCCTTGCAGACAGTTGCAGGACAAAGCTAACATGAGTTAAATTAGTCATTCATTAGGTTACTCAGTTCGGCTGATGAAATGTATTAACAGGGAAACCATCTGTCTCATGCATTTACCTAATTGTTGATAAACTACACTATATTTTTTCTGGTCTGCAGCAAGAAAAATTGAAGTGTTATTTCTGGAAAATTAAAAATGACTTTGGAAGGTTATATATTCACAAATATGTAATTACATATTTGTAAAGCTACAAGTTTTTTTTTTTTGTTCATTTTTAATCTTTTATAGTAAATAATCCTGATTTTAAGGCTGGTGTAATGGCTTTGGCTAACCTTCTTCAGATTCAGCGTCATGATGATTACCTGGTAATGCTAAAGGTAAGCTTCATATTTTTGATTCTTGACAGAAACTATATATAGAAAAAAACTATTGCTATTAATATTTGTGGCTGAGTGACTATGGGACCTAAAGCAGATTGCATATTTCATCTGTTTTAGATTGTCCGGTAATAACTAATGTCAAAGTATTAACTATTCCTACCACTGTGCAAGGCGCCCTCCCAGTAAGTATAGAGGCAGATAATAATGTTCTTTACCAAAAACAAAAACATATGAAGAAACTGATACTTAAAAGGAGATAGATAAATAATGCCTAAGCAGACCGAAAATGATAGAGCCAGCAACTAAATCCAGTAGCACTGACCCTGTATTCCATTCTTTTTCTTACCTTATCCTAACTAATTAGTCCTTTTATGGATTCATGATCTGTATTCATGAAGATAGTGGAAAATACAAAATTATTCATAGTGAATTCAGCAAAAACAAAAATCCACCAAAATCTCTTTGGGAAGTGCATCTTCTGAGTACCCCATTTAGGGAGTACAGAAACCCGAAAGAACTGTTTTATTTCTGAGAGAAAAAATATACTTCATAAGATTTATAACTAGTAATTATAAAAGGTACAGTGAAGGAGGGGAGGGGTACTTTAGATACCAAACTCAGAAATTATTTTAAAAATAATGGTTGATTTTGCAAGAGATTAAAGAGCTTTTGGCTAGACCTTGTGTACAAAAATTACTTTAACTATCTTGCAATAAATTTCACTCTATCCAGAAGAGATTAATCCATAATTTATTCTACATTTTAGAATTATATGTGTTAAAATGACAGTTTTAATAAGGGAAATACTATTCTGTTCTTAGCTTATAATTCTTTTTACTGAATCTGAATGTTAACTTGGATTTTCTCAGCCCAGATTGGATGTCAAAAGACAAAAAACTGTTCTTAGTGAAATTTAGCTGTTAAAGAAGTTGGTTCTTTATTCAGATAAGTATGTAATTTCCTTGGAATAGTTCTACAGTGGTCCTGTCAGTGTTAGTGATAATAAACCAAATGAAAGAAGAAATAGACAACATTTACATAGCCTATTTGGGGTGCTTTTGTAACACTTCTAATACCCAACAGGAAAAAGTGTAAATCAGCTACAAGAAAAAGCCTTACAAAATTCTAGTCCTTCATATATGTTTATCCCCTTTGGGTTATTTTAAGAGGGATACAAATAATATATGGTCATATGCAAAGTATTTTGGTAGGATTGCTAGCTTTAAAAAAAAATAATATATTAAGGGTTGAGGGTATAGCTTAGTGGTAGAGGGCTTGCCTGGCATGCACAACACCCTGGTTTCAATCCCCAATACTGCAAAAAACCCATGTATTAACTGACAAAACAACAAACAGAATTTTTGGGTTTCTTAGGCAATTCGCATTTTGGTTCAGGAGCGCCTAACACAGGATGCAGTTGCTAAAGCAAATCAAACAAAAGAGGTACGTGTGTTTTCACAAATTCTATATCAGTTATTAACGAAAATTTCTCCTGGTATTGCCATGAATTTAAACTTCTGTTTAAGGTATCCATTCTGTTAGAATAGCCAAGAAAGGATAACTTACTTGACTGTGATTGAATCTGGTTCTTAAGCTAATTGAATATATCCAATCTCTGGGGTCATTTGTATGAAAAATGAACTTCAAACTTTTCTCATGTCGTAGCTTACAGAAGCTATCAATAGCTCCTTTAGTCCACAGACTAAGGTACATGCCCAGTTGAGGTTTATTTGAAATGATTAACTCTTGTAGTATTTATTGCATTATTTTGACTTGTGGTGAAAAACAAATGGCATACTTTCTTTGTTATCAGTTCTCTTTTTTGATCTAAATCCTATCCTTGCTCTTTAGATTCTTCAGAGTAAGCCATCTCATTTTGTTCAATACACCATGACCACCTTTGCGTTAAATAAAGACTACTGGGATATTTTTAGATTTAACTGTATCAGAAACTCAGGTATCCCTAAGGCCCTGTTGACTTTGTGAGAGTGTAGAAAATGTCCTCTGGACTAGCAGTTAGCAGCTGCTAACTGCTACCTATCCTTTTCTGGATAGGTATTGCAGTGGGTGCTTTGGGCACAACCACTATTCTAGACTGTGGTTCCTCTTTGTTCCCATCCCCATAGTCTTCCATTGTCTTTTGTCCTCTGACTCCTTTAGCCAGGCCCAGCAGTGTTAAAAGTTTGCTAATGCCAGGGCAGTGTAGTGCCCTCTGACAGTCACCCAATTTTCTTCTAAAGGTTCTTACTGGTCTTTTAATTATGTATGAATCCGTCCCTGGAAATTGAATTAAAGATTAGCTTATTTCACCCACACTATAGAACAGACAGTAAATTGTTCTGGTATATTATAATGCTTCATTTATTCAGCAGAGCTATGTCTTTAGTTTGGAAGGCAGTACAAATAGGGGCATAGCCAAGTCTCTTTTGCTCTTGTTTGCAGTTGCTTTCAATGCTTGAAATCTTACTTTCAGTGTCATCTTAAAAGGTATCAGCTTCTAATAACGTTATGGAGACATTCTTAGAGTTTAGTGTTCTTTGTAACCATTCGTAACTAGTATTTGAGGCATGTGGCAATTTTCAGGGGTAGCTGTTCTTTGGTGGTCAAGGTAGACAAAAGGAAAATCCCAACCTCTGCTACCAGATGTCATATGGAGCCTTCAGTACAAGTCTTCTCTGTTTTGCTCACTGTATCTTCATGCCCATTGGTTTCTTAGGGTCTCAGTAGAGTCAAATAAATAGATTAGGTAAAAATTGAGCAGTAACTAAAGCATTTGGGTAGTGACAACTTGAACCATTGAAAGCAGTATAGGTTGAATTTTGATTTTTGATGTAAAGACAAATATGCTCAGAAGTAAACATACTTGAGGAAATACTAAAAGTAGTCCTATTCCATTTGCACCGTGCACTGCTGCTTACTGTTGCTAAAGTGGGACACTAGCAGCCATGCTCAGCCTCCTTCCACAGCAGTAGTGACAAAATACTGCTGTAGGAAGGATTTATTATTTCATTGCCTGGCCTAAAGAACTGGATGGATTATGAAGCTTCCGGTACATTGAAAGGCTGCTCTGTCCTAGCTTCTTGTAATAGGGAAAAAAACCATCACAGGCAGATTAAAACGAAAAATTCTTAGGCCCCTAACAGTTAACAGAAAAGCTAGCTGCTTTTTACAGTTTCAGATGAGAAAAAACTATTCTCAACTACAAATAGTCTCTTTTTGTCCTTCTTTTTCCTTTTTTTTTTTAAAAGGGCTTGCCTGTTGCTTTAGACAAGCATATTCTTGGTTTTGACACAGGAGGTAAGTGATTTGATTTTAATTTAAACTATTTTGAGACACTTGGGAAGTTCTTGGGAGATGAGTGAGTAAATGGTTTTAAATACAAAAATTAGGTATTAATGCTCTTTTCATATAAAACAGATGCAGTTCTTAATGAAGCTGCCCAAATTCTGCGATTGCTGCATATAGAAGAGCTTAGAGAGCTACAGACAAAAATTAATGAAGCCATAGTAGCTGTTCAGGCCATTATTGCTGATCCAAAGACAGACCACAGACTAGGGAAAGTTGGAAGATGAGTGCTGCAGGATGTCAACTTCTTACCTACTTAGTGTAAACAGGAACCATGTACCCTTCAGGCATGTGTTTGGAAATCAAATGTCACATTTTCAAGGGAGGAATCCCAGGAAATTGACTGTGTTCTAGAGATTTAACCACAACTGCTGTTTTCTTTTAATAAAGTTTGGGAAAGTGGAATTTTCTTTTCACTGTGTTTGTTGTATATTTGTGTGATTAATGTGCTGTTGCTTTTATGGTTAAGGTACACAATAACCCCCAATTTTGTCCTGAGACAGTATAGATCCATACATTACAAGAAAACTTAAAACATTTTATTGGAGTAATCTAGAAAACTTGAGAACTGTTACATCTTTGGTATTTATAAGTAATACTTTCAATGGGTACATCTATAGAGGCACTTATGGGATCAGAAAATATAAATTGAATCATTATAGCACCTTTTAATATAAATAGAAATACAGTGATGCAGAGGTAAAAAAAAGTCTTAGAACTTTTGTTGGGAATTTATAAATAAGTTGGTTCTTTCCCATTAGTTCTGCATAATATAGTACATCAGTGTTGATTTTTAGGATTGTATTTTTATAACTGATCACATGTGCTTTTAATTTTTTGATCAGAAAGAATCCATAGCAAAAATCAGATTTAGAGTCTTAAACTTATTGGTTCTTAGTTGAATGAGTTTTACCTTTTAAATATTGATATGAATGCTAAAAGGATGCTTTAATAAGCAACCATTAAAATTCTGTTACTTTTTTAAACTTGTCACAACCTTTGATTTTAAAAATACAGTAGTAAAGATTGAGGTATAAACTTTCACAATATATTTAGTCTTGTTGCACTAAAAATGTTCATCTTGTATGTTCAGGAACTTCTAATGGCCAGTTCCTCCATTCACTTTCTTTGCCTTTGCAGTAAGTTCTTAGGGTCAATATTCTGATTGTAAACTTCATGTCCTCCTTTACATTTCATGTTCATTTTCTTCCTGTGAGGGAAGAGGGCAGTGGTGAGTATTTTGTGACCAAGTTGCAATAACAGGTTTTCTTCATTTTGTGTGTAGGTAAGCTAGGTGGACTCAAGGTTGGAAAAACAGCAGTGATGACAGTGTTAGTGGAAGCAGGGTAATGAGGTCCCATAGGTAGCCCTCTCTCCTTTGCTAATCCAAACCTGACACGTGTCATTTACCTGTTGGGCAGTAGGGGTAAACTGCCGTTATCCCATAGAGGTGAGACCGCTGCTCCGGGAGATACTCGTCAGTCAGCTGGCCACTGTCTTTATTCACTGATATAACACCATCCCTGGAGCAGAAAGGAAGTGAACCCAGAGTTGATTACAAAATGAAAACGTTATAGTAGAGAAGAACCTCTGCCAGCCTTCTACAGTACATTTTTAGTTCATTCAACCAAATGAGTTTTGACTTGGGAAGATTTGTCTCACACCAGTTGTTGTCAAAGCAGTCCACAGACAGAAGAATCACATGGGAACTTGTAGGAAATTTAAATTACATGGCTACCCTCAGACAAACTGAGTCAAAAACTTGGGGATGGAACCCAGCAGTTTATTTTTTTTCCTGGGAGATTGGTACTAGGGTTGGAACTTGGCCTCTGCCTTGCTAGGCAGGCTTGAGCCATACTCCACCCCATTTTGCTTTTAGTTTAGAACAGGATCTTATATTTATACCCAAGATGGTCTGGATTACATTCCTCCTGCTTATGCTTCCCCCTTACTTGGGATGACAGGCGGCTACCACCACATCCAATTTACTGGTTGAGATGGGGTCTCACTAACTTTTTACCCAAGCTGGCCTCCATCTACAGTCCTTCCACCCTCACCTGCTGAATAGCTAGGATTCTAGGCACAAGCCACCATGCAAGATACGCAAAGTCCACTGGGTGATTTTGATGTCACAGGGAAGTTTGACACCACTGGTTTAAATTCATTGTTCTCAGTCCTAACTGCACTTACAGTCATACGAGGAACTATTATATGGGCCTCATGGCAGACCAATTAAATCAAAATTGTAGGGAATGGGGTAGGACTTAGTTCTTTTCTGTTTTTAAAACCCATAGATCCTCATTTAAGAGTTAAGTAGTATCTTTTAGTCTCTTAAATATAAAAAGCCCACAGTGTCATTTAAGAAAAAAAACAAAATCCTAACCACATTACACTGAAAGGTAAATCTGATGAACAGATTTAGATCAATGTGTGTTCTTTTTTAGATAGTTTATTACCAACAGCTTTGCCATGTTTAAGCTACTTGTGAATAATAACTGAACTTGGTGAGGTAAAAGGACGATTTCAAAAGCAGTAACCCTTGAAGAATGTTGTCTATTATTGAGAAGATGAGAAACAAAAACCTCAGCAGAGAGCTCAGTTATCAGTCACTTATTGACTTTGGTGAAACAAGTAGGGTACTCTCCAAAGCTGCCTTCTGGTCCAGAGTGTTGGTCTCACCTTCTCCAGTCTGTGTGGTAGAAGTGGTCTGCGTAACTGACAATGCTGAAGGGGTAGTTGAGGTTATTTTGGATGACACGCCGTCCAGTTCCATCAGGTAGTGTACACTCCAGTTTCTTGGTTCCTTAACACCAAGGGGGGGAAAAGACCTTTTCATGCCATGGAGAAAAATAAAACTGTTCTGCCAAAAAATGATGGTAGCAGATAGATTCCTTCTCAAGGGAAAAAAGGCAGGATAGGCATAGGACATCTTTATTCTAGTCTCCAGTTTGTTCACTTTTAATTTTTTAATGGAAATTCAAAAGTTTTGAGAAAAAAAGGATTTCATCTGCTGAAATCTGGCAAGTTTCAGAAATAAGCATTCTTATGATTTCAAATCTTGTTTTATAAATTGTTGTAAATAAAACATCTGGGTAAGTGATTGCCCTTTAGAAAGCAATGTATAATAACAAAATCCTTAAATATTTTAATATTTTCTAGTTAAAACTAAAATGTAAAGAAGCAGTCTTGAAAATTTTGAAATAGCTAAAGAATTCAAGAATTTCCAATTTCACATTTCTCATGGAGAAATTTAAAGTACTTAAAAAAATGTAATGTTTTGGACAGTGGGGTTGTAAAAACTACCCATCTGCATTATAGTTCCTTTTATTAGATTATAAAGAACAGTTTCATATATCACATCTCAGTTCTAATGATGAAAAGCACACAACAAATAGACAAACCTGTGTTAGTAACCCAAATGCATTGCTGAAGGAAGCCATCCTGCCACATCGCTTAAAGAATGGCCTCCGCATCAATAAGTCTACATAAATTATAATGCTGGCCCAAAAGATAGAACAACCTCTCTATTCGTTTGTCTAGGTTTGTCAGTTTAACTGTGGTTAACATTTCTTCGTTTTTTTTGTTTGAGGCATGGTCTCAATTGATAATCTAGGCTGGCTCCAAACTCGACAGTGCTTCTGCCTTTCTAATCCTGGGATGAAGGCATGCACCACCCACTTGCTAATTTTCTTTTAACTTAAATTTGCTCATGTTGGGCTCAGGCAAGCAGTATAAACTTACTACCTAATTCAGTCCCCTCTGAATTTCCCCTGCCCTCCAGTCCTAGAAAATTCACTGTTAAGAATCACAAAATGTTCTTTAAAAGTTTGGAGACAAAACAAATAGGTTATGTACTGTACTATTATAAATTTGAACCAAAAGATGAAACACATGAGATTTGGTTTGTAGTGAAATCCGTCATAGTGCTCACACTGGCTGTAATGAAGGGCTGTCTTTTCCCGAATTACCTGCATCTGCCCAGCAGAGCAGTTTGGAGAATGGGTCAAAGGTTAATCCATTTGGTAAACCAATGTCTTTATTGACCAGAATTCTTCTGTTTTCTCCCTCTAAAGATGATGTTTCGATTTTAGGAGCTTCTCTGTTCCAGTCTGTCCAGTACAAGTTGCTGTAGATAAATTTTTTAAAAGATTGTAAAAGAATAGCTGTGTAGGGGCTGGGAGTATAGCTTAATGGTAGAGCTCCTGCCTAGCATATATAAAGCCCCTAGATCCGATTCCCCAGCACCACAAACAACTCTGCAGCTGTAGGCAGCACCTAAGATGGCCACCATTAACTCCCACCACCTGGTATTCACAGCCGAAGCAATTCCTTGAATTTGGACTATATTAAGTGTCTTATTCTAGGGAACAGAGTATGGCTGAAGTGACAGGTACCACTTCTAATATTAGATTTCAAGATACTGGGTTCTGTCTTGGAGCCCTTTCGTGTACTCAGAGGGTACTCTGAGGGAGCTAGATGCTGTGCTGCAAGCTGTCCTATACAAAGACCCAGCTGCCCAATGGCCAGCAAAGCTATAAGGTCTGCTAACAGCCCACATGACTGCTTAGAAGTGGACCCAGCTACCCTTAAGATCATTGCAGCTTGACCAATACCTGGGTCGTATTGCAGCCTATGAGAGACTCTGCCAGAGACAGTTAAGTCTTATCCATATTCCTGACTCTTAGACATTGTGACATAATGCTTGTGGTCTTAAGCTGCCACGGTTCTGGGACAATTTGTTACACAGCAATAAATAACTAATACACAGCCATATTCTGCTTTTGCCTTCATCACAAGTTTTTCTAACAATTGCAATTGTGTGGTGAAAGGTCATTATTGCCTAAGATTCTATCAAAAATCTTTACCTCTGAGATACCCTGACTCAACTGTTCAGAAACCCTTTATAATTTACTGAAATCTTGAATTGTATTGTGGGCCTAAAACTCAAAGAAGTACAGTTGTTAGGAAGCATTAAGCAATAGGAACTCTGGAACTTATAGGGGTCTGGGCCAGGGATTTGAGGGAAACCTTCAGGGAAAATACTGCATGGTACTTGTGAAGGGAAGTCTCTGTTGCTTCCACAGAGATGGAAACACTTTAGATGAGGTCTTGTACCTTTTAATTGCCTTGTTAAATATGCAAAATATTTAATGGATGATACCTAGAAAACACCTTGTTAATTAGAAATAGGTTGCACTTAAGGAAATAGAGAAATTAATGATGAAAGCTCTTTATAAATACTGTTTCATGAAAGCTACAGATGCTCTGAGTTGCTGATAGAGAACTTGAATGAAAAGAGGGGATCATGAGTTCTTCCCTACTGTGAACTTCATCCCTGATGCCTAGCACATGAGGACTTGAGAGCAAAAGCTAGAAAGCAGTCACTCTGCTATGTACAGGCAGCCAGAAGATACAGCACAAATGTCATTGCTTCATTTATGACCTGTCTCTGTCCCCAAAATGAAGTTCCTGAAAATAGCAATTCCAGAACAAGGTCATCAGAAACATTTGGGGTAAATTACTCATGGGTTTGCTGAAGGAAGAAACTGAACAGGTGAAAATCTATAGAAAGTGAGAAATACCCAGGAAGGTTCAACAACTTAGACTTGGAGCAGTTATGGCAGATTTAGTTACACGTGTTCTTTTTTAAGCTTGGGCCAAGGTGTATGTTTTCATTAAAAATTATTTTTTAAAGGTCCGTTAGCATTATTTACTGTCTTGATAAGAAAGAAAGTTCTTTCATCTTTAAACTCATGGCTGTGTGGTCTAGATTTCAGCTTAAAAATATGCCTTTTCCCCAGACATGAGTAAGGGATCTGCTCACCAGCTGGCAGCTTCCCCCCATTTCTGGTCATACACCAACAAAGACTAATGGAGCCTCAAAAGGCAAGTCTCTAAGGGGGTTATTCTAGGAGGTAGAACTCAGGAGTGAACTCAGGGCCTAACGCTTACTAGACAGTCATTCTACCACTTGAGCCACTCCTCCAGCACTTTTTCTGCTGGTTATTTTTGAGAGTCTCACTTTATGCCCAGGCTGGCCTGGATTGTAATTCTCCTACTTGTGCTTCCCTCTGTAGCTGGAATGACAGGCACGCACCACTACACCTAGCCATTCAATGAGATGAGGGTCTCATTAACTTTTTGCTCAGGTTAGGCTAGCCTCGAACCACAATCCTCCTGACCTCCACTTCCAGAGTAGCTAGGATTACAGGCTTGAGGCCCCACACCCAGCCTAAGAGGGTTGTTAAATCTTGTGGCTGAGTCAACTGGAATAGAGCAAGATAACACCTTCCCCATGTGTAGATCTCAAAGTTCAGAACCAACTTTGAGGCTTTGTACTTAGTATTTCTGAGTCAAAAAACACTTTGCTAAAAATTAAAGATGAAGGTTTTTCTTTACTGATCTGAAGTGCTTCTGTGGAATTTTGTAGACGCTCCACTTCAATATGGAAAGAGCTTCTCAAGTATAAAAATCCTCCCTGGTTCCACTAAGTCATACATGTCCCTATTGATGGCCTTAGAAATTGTCGCAGAAAGGGAACATTATTATCTTGACTTTTGCTAGAGTGAAAATAAAGCTGGAGAAATAAAATGCCCAGTGTGTGAGCTTGGCTTACCCTCACCATCAAAGGGAGGCTCTAACACTCTTGTTCCCAAGTTGGTGCCTGACAGCTAGGAACTCCTTAGTAAATACTTGTTAAGTTAGTGCATTTGAGCTTTTACTCCCTGGTTCTGATCCTTCCTGGACCGTATTTAAAATCCAGGAGCTTCAAGTCAGGATCTACAAGTAACATGAGCATTAGGGAAGCCCAGCTGACCCTCGGATTGGATCCACAGCGATGGCACGTGGATTCACCAGGTCGGTGTGAAAGAGGACCTTGCGCTTGGACCCATCCAGCTGGGCTCTCTCTATCTTATCCAGGCCACTGTCTGTCCAGTACATTGTTCTCCGGAAGTGGTCGATGGCAAGTCCTTCGGGGCTTATCAAACCTACAAATAAAGCAAAGACAGGTTGGAGCATTTGTACAAAGGGTAAACTGAAGGAGAGACAGACCTGCTATAATTGAAGAGTTTATAAAACTAAAGCATGAGAGTCCTTAAGTCCCCAAACCTGGCAACCACAGTACTGGGGCCAGGCAGCACCACAGACCAAATTCTTAACTGTGAGCCATTTCTTTTGAGAAGGGATCATCTCATCCTAAGAATCACCTTTTGTCACCTTTTTTATTCCTTACTTGTGAACAGATTTGTTTTGTTTACAGAGAAGCCAATCTTGTACAACAAAATAAAGTGACTTTCACAGAACTTAACCTTCCCTGCTAGAAGAAAACAGTGGGGAGACCAGCATAAAACAGACAAGTGGCTTACTACCATGAAATGAAATGCCCAGTGTCTGCTGAGTGAAGCACTGACCTGAGTTGATGACAGTCTCAGGCTCTGCTCCTGGTTCCAAGCTGGCACGGCTGATCGTCCGTCCAGCAACATCTGTCCAGTACATCATCCTCTCCCGGCAGTCGTAGTCAATTCCCACAACTATGGAGCCCTTTGTGGACCAGATCATACAATTAGAATCAGGATCCTTGAATTTCACCCCTCATCCAAGTTCATGCATGGTTGCAGTGAGCAACCTTGTCCTGAAACCTTGCAGGGAGCAGTGCAGAGTGGTTAGACCTATGGGCAGTGGAGACCTCCCTGGGGTCACAGCCAGGCTCAGCCACTTACTGTATGACTCTACTTAACCTCTTGCCTTCATTTCCTTAAGCAGCACCTACTTCATGTGGCTGTAATAAAAATTAATATCCCAGATGCTTATAAGGTGTCCTTGTCAGTAATTATAGTAAGTTCCTCAAGTGCTGTTAGCATCGGCAATACAAACAGTAATTTCAAGAAAAAAATCAGTCTCACCAGTGGTTATAGGACGGTCTCAGCAAAGTCCTTAGTATTGAATGGGGCAAAAACTTTTCAAATGTTACCAGCACTTTTTGAAAGTCTTTCTAAAATTTGCCAACATAAGCCAATAAAATCTACTCTCCCTTTCCTTGTGAGTAGGCCGAGATCCCTTCCCCACCTGAAGTGCGGTCACCCTTAGCTCTCAATATAAAGCAAGTCTTCAGCTGGACTTCATAAAAGAACATCTAATTTGATGGGCTGTGATCACCCAACCTTTGGCTTATGAGGTTCCCCTCCTCCCCCGTCCTTACTGCTAAATGACAGTAATGCCTGTAATACTCCTGGTTTTGTGATACTCTTTTCTTCAGCTCCACACAGGACTTGCTTCATGAAGGTTTCAACACAGATTCCTATTCTGAGAAGCCTAGCAGATGTAAAAGCCAACATCTAAAGGCCATCTGGTCATCACTGAGGTCACACCAGGTCCTGGCTTGCCTAACAAAGCTTCTTGAAGCTTGGTTTGACTTACATCTTTGAGACAGCACAAGAGACTGTACAAACAAAATTTGGCTCTTGCAGCAAAGCTGGTAGTTTACATAGGGTACCTAACATCAGTACTTTAACTTGGAAATTAAAAAGTCATCTGGGTCAGGTGTAGTGGCTCACGCAAAAGGAGGAGATGGATCAAGGCTCAAGGCCAGCCCAGGCAAAAAAGTAGCTAGACCCTATTTCAAAATCTAGCTGGTGTGGTGGTTCACACCAGTAGTCCCAGTTACTCGGATGCATTCTGAGGCTGGTCTCAGAAGTGTGAGACCCTACATGAAAAGTAAAGTAAAGCAAAGAGGGCTGTGGTTCAAGTGGTAGAGCGCCTATATAGAAGTCTGAGGCCCAGGCAATGTGCCCTAGAGAAGAATACACATTCATAAGGGCCTCCATGAACCAGGATTCTTGGAGGAAAAGTCCCAATTTAAGTAAATTTCCCTAAATTGTGCTTATTACCAGGCCTTATTTCTCTTTCAGTTCCACCATGGCCATCACCAGCCTGCCAGTTAGGGATGTGCTAAAAAATGTAATGTAGTCATCTGGTGTGGCTAGAATAAGTGATGGTTAGCTCAAATGACTAGCAACTTCTTAAGATTCCACCTCTTCTAGAGAAACTTTTATCAAACAGCATGCTAGAGTTTGCTAGGGAAAAAAAACCCCCAAAACCTTGAATCTTAAAAAGGAAGAAAAAAAAGCTACATCTTTTTCTGAACACTGGTTGCTTTAAGGCTTTTTGGAACCAAATAAGTACTTCATTAACAGAAGTAAATGTGAACATGAACACTGGTACTTATTCCCTCTTGAAAGAGCAAGTATCCTGAGTGTGAGGTTTAGAAACAGTCAGACATTTCCATTGCATGTGTCAATGCCTTTTGGGATCCCCCTTCTTTTTTTCCCACTGTAGAGAAGAAATCCTTCCAAATTGGGGTGCCTTGGCAATAGGGAGGCTGCAGGCTCAAGAAACAGCAGATATCCTAGGGAAGGTTCCATCCACTCCCAGCAGAGCACTCTTCCAAAATCTCCACAATGAAGGAGTCGGAAGTTAGGAAAGAGGTGAGTCATGGTGACATGACCAAACTGGGGCTGGGGGAGGGGACCTGCAACAGTGAGGCAGTCACAGCTGATTTCTCAACTGACCATAGAAGTCAAACACTATAGCCATCACTGCCTACCCTTCTCACTTCTAGGATGAATGGAACCTGAGAAGAACCCCAGGAACTTGGGTTAAGAGCCTGTCTATTTTCCCTAGGACCATCATACAGTCCCACATCCTGCCAACTCTGAAATTCCATTTCCATATATCTGAAATGCCACAAACCCACAGGAGACAGCAGCTGGGGTCAGACAGACATGACTCCAGCAACAGAAAGCCCCACTTCTGTAGTGGCGGCACCAGGCCTGTTGAAGATGGATTGCAGCTCCTAAGTGCCCCAGGATTTTCTATACTTGTAGTCCCCTGCCCCTAGCACCACCTGCACAGGGCCGGCAGGAAGTCATGCAGCCCCGCCCTTCAGGGAACTCTACTTTACATGCAGTGACAGCAAGGTCCTGGCCATGTCCTTCTGAAGTCTGGAGCCATTGAGGGGCAAATGGCCGATCTGCTGGCCCTGGGCATAGAGCAGGAAGGTTCCCACAGATGGAGGGGTCACATCAGGCCGGGGTGTGGGCCGAACTGTGGGTGGAGCAACCGTGGGTATACCTGCCATGGGAAAGGAGAGGAATGGAAATAAGGGCAATTGAGAGGAGAAGAAAAGAAAAGTTATTTTCTCACATACCAGGGCCTCCAAAAATACCAAAAGTTCTTCCCTCTAGACAGATGTCCCGCAGACATGCTTCAAAAGAAATTCTGAGTTCTAGAATTAGTTATGTAAATCACTACCAATTACTAGAGAGGAAGACAACAAGACACTTCCCTGAGAACAAAGCAAAGACTTTGTTGTTGTTTCTGAGGGGATGAAACCTCTTTGAGGCCCCAGGGTGACACTGTTCCCTTTCGTCAGGGCTGGGGAGGGGGAGTAATTGCGTGTTAAACTCAGTTCCAGCTATTCTAATTACAGAAACTGCTAGTGCCAAAACCAAAGTTAAATTCACATTGAATCTTGTGGGGACCAGATTATAAATCAACACAGCATATTGATGAGGTGAGTTCTTTCATTAGACCTGGTGACCCCTTTCCTCCCCACCATCGCCTACAGTGAGCAGGCATCCCTACAAAAACACATTAGTGCCACTGAGGGGAGTTTGGCCTGGACCCATGCTTACATGCAGGGGTGATGCCTGGCTGCGAGCGTGTGCCCTGGACCTCTCTGCCATCTTTGTCCACACACCAACAGAAGTCGCTTTTCCCGTGGCACTGCAGGGGGACGAAGTGGCCTAGGTCATCGCACTGGGGCACATACTGGTCATCCCTGGGTGTGCCACCATAGTGCTCCAGCAGGTTTTCCTTCCAGCGCTCACAGACGGTCCGAGGCCTCTGGGTGGGCTCTAAGCAGATGTGGAAACAAAGTTGTTGGTTGCCAGCCAAGAACAGAAGACAGCATGAAGCTTATGATCCCCACACCTGGCCTCCTGGCCTTCTCCCTCCTACTGTCCAAGAAAGATCTCTGCCAAGCTCCTGGACGCTGGGCCAAGGAAGCAGCAAGTGTGTTCTAAGGAGTTCTTGTGAAATCCAGAGATCATCTTGATGCCCCTGTCTCCCCAGGCCAGGAGGAAATGCCATTGAGGCCCAGCCATATTAGGAAAGAACAAGAGGAGGTGCAATCCACAGCCTGGAGCTCCCTCAGCCTGCAGAGGCCCATGTGGACACCTGGCCTGTGCCCAGGGCACCCCTGCTGATATAGCACTTGTGCAACTCTCTGGAGACCCAGTGGCCTATGTGATACTTTAAGACAATTGTTACTCTTTCCCCTTTGCTTCAAACTTTAGGACTTGTTGCTGAGGACATCTTGAGCCTGGCTATTGTGCAGTAGAAAGTACCATTAAAAGCCAGGCTATGCCGTGTGGCCCTCAGTATCTACCGATTGGAAAACTACATGGAGTAAAAGTTAATGTAACTAATATGCAGAGCATAGCAGAGGTGGTGGCAAGAAACTTAAAACTAACTTGTAGACAACGCAGTTTCTAGAAATCTTCAGCATATTCCCGGGACTGCCTCAACACTGAACCTTTCTCTGCAGGTTCTAGCTTCCTGCCACCTTGCTGTCCCTTCTCTTTTCTTCCTTCCTGTCCCCTCCCTCACAGTTCGCACCATGCTTAAAGTCTTGCTGACTTCTGTGGCAGAGCAGTTCCCTCTCCACTCCTGCCTCAGTGCCACTGAGGCTGTGTCCCAAACGTGTGTGGCTCTGTCTGAAAAGACTCTGCTGCCAGTTGTTGAGATAACGTATTCATTTATGATTGGCTTACCTAAAAGACTACAAGAGGAGACACTTCTGTTTTCTCTTTAATCCCTGCAGCTCAAAGCCTATGGTCTGCAGAATCACATAGTCAAGTATGTACTTGGATGCAAAACAGAAATCTCAGAGTAAAACTAACCAAAGCTGGACCCCAGCTTTCCCGATCACACCTGCTCCTCTTCTAGTCTTTTCCCTATCAGTAAATAGCACCTCCCTTTTTCCATTGCTCAGACACGATCATCCTCAACTCCTCTTTCTCTCACTCCCTACACCAGAAAATCATATCTTTACTTCTCACCACTTCCAACCATCATCTTGTGCTGGGGTCACTGCTGACAGCCTTCTCATTGGTCTTCCTGCTCCTATTCTCCCTCCCCTGAAACCCAGAAGCCAGAACGTTCCATTTAAAACTCAACCAGAAGCCAGAACGTTCCATTTAAAACTCAAAGGTATTTCCCATACCCTTTCACTCAAAACCCTCCAGCGACTTCAAAGAACAGAGCTGGAAGCTCTGGACTACAGAAGGACAGTTCCTCTGGGAAGGGAGGAAGATGGTGAATCAGGTTCTCTGAGTTCAAACCCAGCTAGCCCCACTGCAAGACTTCCCAGGCTTGGGGAAGCAGATGCTCTGCAATTTGCACTACAGTTCATGCCCCATGGAAAGCAAAGGTCTCTGAGACCTCATGGAGAAAGCAGGGCTCTGACTTTCTCTCCCAAGAGGAAGGACTGAGAGAAGGGGGATTGCTACTTCCTTAAACACTTGCCAGCAACCTCAAGATGGGATTCTCTGAGAAGGCTCCCAACACAGCTCCTGCTCTACATTTTGAACTCCAAGTTCCATTTTGGTTCAAGGGGCAACCCAACAAGGCACATCTCTTGGTGTGGAATGCAGACACACAGCACAGTCAGCTTCTGGGAACTGGGTCTCGAATCATTCATTCATGGGTGTCCCGCTCATTCCTTTCAATCTGAAGCTATTTCTCCATCCAACCATGGATTTCTCTTCTGCTTTTGATTGGCAGGGGCTTAAATATTCTAACATCTTAGACACAGAATGTCCTCATTCCCCTCCAGCTGACCCCATTATGCAGATGAGACTAGTCAGAAATGGCTGCCAAAGCCAAGCCAGCACCAAAGGGAGAAGTCTGGGTCATGAGAAAGTCTGCACAAGAGAATGTGTCCCTGTTTTACTCATTAGCTTCTCAGCCTGAATCATTTGCCCTTAACATGTTTGTTTTAATAAATTTAATAGAATTCAGAATCACCCCCTGAAGCACCTCACAATCATCTGATTTTTCCAATTCTCAGCTGGAGGAGAACCCAGACTTTTTGGGAAGGTTTTTTTTTTTTTTTTTTTTTGATGGTGCTAAAGTTTGAACTCAGGACCTTGTGCTTGCTAGGCAGGCACTCTACCACTTGAGCCATGCCTCTAACCAAGAACCCAGACTTTTTAAAGAGAAGCCATGAGTGAAACAGGGTTTCTCCCTATTTTTTTTTGGACCTACAGAATCTATGCCTAAACCAGAGACAAAGGGACTAGGATCTAGCCATTACCAATTTCTACCTAGCTATAATAATCAAGATTGCTAAAGAAGGCTGGTGGTGTGGTTCAAGTAGTAAGAATTCCTTTCGAGCAAACGCCAGTGCCACCAAAAAAGATTATTAAAGAATTAACAATCTTTTGGTAATCCTTCAGCTCTGTTCACTCTCACCTGAGAAATACCAAGACTAGTATTTTTGGAATACTTCTCAATAGTGAAAATGGATTTTTACATAGCAAGCTCCCAGATACAGGAATGGTTTTGGCTAAAACAGCATTAAACCAGTTTTATGTTCTTCATAATAGAGTTCTTCCATAATAAACAGAAAAGAAGAAGAAAGTTCTACCCATCTCTGAGTAATTCAACAAGGAACAGAAAGCTGCATCAACTATAAGTATTGGCTAACCATGCCCCATCCTGACAATGCAGAAGATAACTGATGTGTTCTTCATGAGCATCTCAGACTGGGTGAACAAATTTTTGTGCCTCTTATGAAAGCAGCTGAGGCAAGAAGGATTCCCATCACCATGCTGGCTAGGCTATAGAGGGTGGGGTTATTTGATTAAAACTAACTGGATCTGACACAAGTTTCATATTTATTTTTCCTATTAACATTAACACAGCCTTCAGACTGCTTCCTGCCACTCAGAAGTCAGAGTTAAATGAGATGCTTACATAAGAAGGCACTTTTCCTTCTGGACAAAATGTCCAAGCTCTCTCAGACCTCTCACAGTGGCCTCAACTACTGACCTAGATACTCAATCTCAGCTTCCAGCCTGTCACCCAAGATGGATCTAAGCAGCTCAAGTCCAGGGTATAACAGAGATCCCACATGTCAATTGTGTGTATCTACTGGTACCTATATCATAACCATGCACCTATCATCCAAGTGTTCTTCGGAGGAAAGAGGCTATCAAACATGGCGACCAGCCAGCCCCGTTCCCACCATCATCATCATTTTGCTTCTTGACCCCAGGCCCAAGCTGGTACAAGGTTTCTTTCTTTGTGTTCACCTGGTGCTGGTCCACAGTGAGGTGGGGTAGAGCCAGGTGGAGTCTGGGTGCCAGGGACTTCATGGCCATTAGGGTCTACACACCAGCAGAAGCCAGTGCTGCCATGGCACTGCAGTGGCAAGAAGTTGCCCTGGTCATCACACTGGGGGATGTGGAGCCGGGACCCAGGGTAGGCATGCTGTGCCTGGGCATAGCGCTGCTGGTGTTCACAGGGCTTCAATCCTGAGGCGGAGTCTTCAGAACCAGGAAGAGGGAGATACAAAGGGAAAGGAAACATAATTGCAGTCATCTTCTTTATCAACTAACCACCATCAAAGTCTCCTGTACTGAGGGATTTTTTGCTACAACTGGAAGACACAATGACATAGGGAAAGCAGCAAGGTACTACTTTAGACTCCTGGATTCTTATTTTAGCTTTGTCACCATCTACCTAGTTTGTCCCCAAATTCTCTCAATTCACCCTGTAAGTCCTTAGATGAATGTAGGTAGAAGTCACCCAGCTCCTTCTGCAGCTCTCAGGGGTCTACTGCTATCTAGGGAAGATGAAGAGCAACCCATGGCATCTGACCCACTCCATTCTTTAGAGAGAATGAGTCAAATCCCATCCATCATCCAGTTTAAATCTGAGAAGCTCAGGTCAATGGCAAATGGCAGTCGTGTTGCTCTGGGTTGGTAAGCATCACAGTAGGTGTTTACAGCTGGCTCACTAATGTGTCCAGCTTTTATTAAGAGGCCTTTTCTCAATGTTTCATCTAAATGGCATTCATCAAGGCAAAACAGGTCACTAGGATAGTGAACCAGAGCTGCTCCTAGGTAGGAGAAGTGATGGCTTCTACTCCAGGCGTCCAAGAATGTTAGTCGCCAGTCAACTAGAGTAGAGTCAGCAGCAGGAAGTAACTGAAGGGAAAATCCAAAGCCTCAATAATCCACACACCAGGGCCCAGACCAGGCTAACTGGAGAGCTGGCTGAGAGAAAAAGACTACTGAATGAGCTCGGAGATTCACCCACCTAATCTAATCTGACCCTTGAAACCTTACCAGGTATGCACTGAAATCCATCCCCATGATATCCAGGATGGCAACGGCAGGAGAAGGACCCGGGGGTATTATAGCAGGTAGCTGCCGGGTGACATCTGTTTTCCGCACATTCATCAACATCTGCACAGGTCAGCAATCGGCAGAGAGAGAGGAAAGGAAGGAAGAGCATGACTTCACTGTACACAACCTGTGTAACTGCACAGTCTTGATACACATGGTCCAACAAATGGTCAACTTCAGAAGATCTTTGGGCATGAGCAGAAAAATGCTAAAACCTAAAGATAAGCTTAACAGGAAAAACAAGACAAGGAGCATGTAAGTTACCATATAAGACTAAGAATGTTTGGGGTAGGAGTCAAGTGGGTGGGTAATCAGATAAAAATATCCTGGAGAGTATTTCTAGAGCACCTTTCATCTGCAGTGAATTCCAGGAAGTTATTACCTTTGAGCTAACCTTTAAACTATAAATCATTAATTTCCTTTTGGTCATATTACAATAAAGATAAATATAGGTCACAATAGGTTTTTTTTCTCCTGTAGTGTTGGCACCATCTCCCTATAACACTCACATAGAGATGTAAAGGAGCCAGATAAGGCTTATCCTTGCCTGCTGAGTACTTTGGTTTAGAACCTCCAGTTAACCAGAAATTTGCTTTACCTTCCACTTTTAGAAGACAAAAAGGAAAAATGTTGCTGGCGTTTTCGAAATAAGAAAAGGACTAAATATGTTTGGAATATCAATATAAACAGTTCAGACCCCCACACTCTCCACATGGTAATCCACCCTGAGGATTTTCATAATCACTCAAATCTGTGAAATCTGAACACTTTGAACAAAAGCCAATTCATATCCTTTATTTTATTTACTAAAATCAGCCCAGGGTAAAAACAGCAAGTCACCCATCTTGCCCCCTCCTCTTTAAAAAAAAAAAAAAAGAAAGAAACTCTGGGAATAGAATTCATCAAATTAATGTCAAGTTGATGAAATAAGCTCTCTTAAGAGGACAGGAAATCTTCCAGAGTAAAAACAAACAAAGCAACAAAAAAAAGTTAATGGTGCAAGTCTGATCTGATCTAGGTTTTACAGAACAAAACAAAGCATTAATCACGACCACAGTAACAACTAACACATAGAAAAAAGTGTGATGGGAGGATGGATGTAAAGCTGGGAAAAATGTGAAAGATCCACTTGGCACAGCACATGGCAGGGATGCACGGACTGGGCAGCTGGAAGCTAGCAGATGATGTGAATGGGATGGTAGGAACAGGAGTGGCTCCTCATCCAGCTCAGCCTCCCGTGATCCATGTGAAGTCCCTTGTAGGATTATCCCTTCCCTCCCTCCCCCCTGCTCTGGCCACAATCCCACAGAGCCACCTTCCAATAACCAAGGTGCTTTCTCGGGTACCCAAGCAGACACGCTGCGCATTACCCAGGCATTCTGTCACAGAGAGGATTCTCGTATTGTAATTAGCAAATTAGCATTCTGCTTATCCTATGCTTCTGGGCATTTAGTCAACAGATATCAGTTCCTTTGAGTCCAGAAAAACCCAGAATACTTAGCACAATGGAGTCTAATTCCACGCCAGAGGCTCTTCCTGAGTGAGCCACTGGCCTCCCTAGTTACCGTCATTTCACCTACTAAGACTTCACCTGCAAGGTTAGAAAATAAGCAAAGTTTTCTGGTTAGTCAATATCATCATCTTTAATTATTCTTGTGGTTGGCTCTTTGTCTCTTCAAAAGGACAACTCCAATGTCCATGTGGGCAAAGCTGGTGACCATCCAGTTCCTTGGGCCCAGAGAATGCTATAAAACTGGTTGTACAACCAAAGCTGTAAAAGTTAACATCAAGCAGAATGTAGGAAATTAAAGGTATTGACAGTACATATGCTAAAAGTACTTCTAATGGTAACAGGAACCCCAAGCAATGACAGGAAGCAGGAATTCCTGACACAGGGCCTATTTCTGGAGGCAAGGAGCAAATTCTTTTGATTACTTTAAACTAAGGGAGAGGGGATTCCCCACAACCACTAAGCCACAGATGTTATTAAAACTCACAGCCTAACTATTCACAATAGCCAAGTTATGGAAACAGCCAAGATGCCCCACCACTGACGAATGGATTAAGAAAATGTGGTATCTATACACAATGGAATTTTATGCAGCCATGAAGAAGAACAAAATGTTATCATTCGCTGGTAAATGGATGGAATTGGAGATCATCATTCTGAGTGAGGTTAGCCTGGCCCAAAAGACCAAAAATCGTATGTTCTCCCTCATATGTGGACATTAGATCAAGGGCAAACACAAGGGGATTGGACTTTGAGCACATGATAAAAGCGAGAGCACACAAGGGAGGGGTGAGGATAGGTAAGACACCTAAAAAATTAGCTAGCATTTGTTGCCCTCAACGCAGAGAAACTAAAGCAGATACCTTAAAAGCAACTGAGGCCAATAGGAGAAGGGGACCAGGAACTAGAGAAAAGGTGAGATCAAAAAGAATTAACCTAGAAGGTAACACCCACGCACAGGAAATCAATGTGAGTCAATGCCCTGTATAGCTATCCTTATCTCAACCAGCAAAACCCTTGTTCCTTCCTATTATTGCTTATACTCTCTCTTCAACAAAATTAGAAATAAGGGCAAAATAGTTCCTGCCGGGTATTGAGGGTGTGGGGGGGAGAGGGAGGGGGCGGAGTGGGTGGTAAGGGAGGGGGGGGGGAGGGTGGGGCGGGGGGGTGCACGGAGAAATGACCCAAGCCTTGTATGCACATATGAATAATAAAACAATAAAACAAAAAACAGCCTAGGAACTCTGACCAACTCTGAAAGACTGGCCATCCTCCTGCCAATGGCTGTTGCCATATTGTGACACATGGTCACAGTAGACAGCGACTGTTAAGACTGGCCAGTAAGGAGGAGAACAACCCTGAAGAGATTAATACATCACACCTGAAAAATCCTGATCCCTAAGGTTAAATAACATTAAGGCTTCCTGAATCACAGTTCCTAACTTCTTGGAGGGCCTCAGGTCATGATAGAAAACGAGTCCTGGCATCCACTCCAGAGCCTAAGCTCAGAGCCAGCGATGGCCTCTCTTGGGGACATAAACACTGAGGGGTTTGCAGGGAGCCAGAACTTCTGCATGAAGAAGGAGAATGCGTACCCATTTCACAGGATGTCATGTCAAGAGAGGAAATGTGGAATGACTTTTCCCGTCCCTTGGCAAGGCAGGGGCTTTCCTTACTGTGTACCTGGGAGGAGGGAGTGACACTTGGGCAGCGGCAGGAAGGTTCATGGACTGATGGAAAACTGAGGTCAAGACAAGAGCAGAGGAATAACACAGCCTCTTTCCCATGCAGGTAAGGAAAGGTTGCTCCTTTCTGGTACGATTTGTTCTTTCATACTCTAGTAAGCTCCTAAAGAACCTGTTTGGAAAAGTGTGTTACAAACCCTCCATTTGGAGCTCATGCTTTGGTGCTTTGATGTATTTTTCTGCTCTAGTTCTGCACAGAACCCGATGGAACTCCTTGGAAACAAACTCAGTCACTAAACACCCCCACCACCCATTCACCTTCCAGCCCAATGTAATTCCCTGGGGTCAATTAATCTTGATCACCCAGGACCCCAGAAAAAGCTCTGGCTCCAGATCCTTGCTCTCTCTCTCTCTCTCTCTCTCTCTGTTCAGTCACGCATCCTGCTGGCTACATCATGAGGCATGTGGTGATCCCCTTCAGGACCTGTGAGTATAACAGACGTCCTTCTAAGCCTAATTCTTGTTTCCTCCTGTGTCCACACTGGCTTCACCATTCCTTATCTCAGCACAGAAAATCTATAGAAAATAATGTCAGTGCCTCCACTCATATTCCCCTCCTGAGCGATGACAGCCCTGGGTAACAGGCCGTCTGTTCCCTGGCTTCCTTGACTCACACTTTGCTCCTCCCTGGGAGGGCTCCAACTCATACAGTCTGTTCTTGCGCCAGTCACGAAGATCCATAGGACAAATGTGTCTGAGAACTATCCAGCTCACACCATACAGGGTAGAAATCACTCCAGATGGAGGGAAGCTGGAGAAGATGTAACTCCATTTGGATAAAAGCCTCCTGCTAGTGACTCAGACCAGACTGAAAACCCAAATCCAAGAGTAGCTTCTCCAGGGAGCCTGGTTTTCAATAAATTATGGCTGGAGAAAAACCCACACATCCTCTTATGGTTAGTTTGATGGAGTAAAAATGTGTGTGCCTCAAAATGCACACTTCCCACAAAACAGAGCCTCCTTCAAAGATCCTTTGCTGAGACACGTCCACTGTGCAATGCCTTTAAATATAAACACAAACTATGGGATCATATTTATATGTTTATTCTGCAACATACTTTCATGATTAGCCTGATTTGTGCAGGATCTTCAGGAAAACAGCTATTCATTCTCAAGTACCACAGGATCTGAAAGCCTGGAAGACTACCACACAGTACTGGCTGTGGTATGAGTCTCCAAGATGGTCCTCAGTGATCCCTACCTCATGGTGTATATGCATGGTCTCACAATCCTCTCCCCTTGGTAACTTGTTTGTAACCAACACAATAAAGCAACACTGAGAAGGTGCCATCTTTGAGATGACTGTCATCTTGCTAGTAGACTGTGTCTCATTGACTTTAATAAAGCAAGCTGTCATGTTGGAGAAAGCCATGTGGCAAGAAATGGAAGGCTGGCAACAGCCAGCAAGGAACTGCAGCTCTCAATCCAGCAGTATTGATGCTGGTCCATGTTCAGGGAAGGTGTCTTCCCCAGAAGAGCCTTCATGGAGGTCTGTCTGCCAGACACTGGCCTGCGGCCTCGCTAGGCACCCTAAGTAGAGTGTGCGCTATGCCGTACCGAGGTCCCTAACAAATGGGTGACAGATGTGTCTTAGTTTAAGCTCTACATTCTGGGGTCATTTGTTGTGCAGCAATTGATAGTTAATACACTGAAGAAGGAAATGATGGGTCTGGCATATTTTTAAGTCTGTGGGCTCCAGAGTGAATCCTAAAAGTCGAGAACCAGAGATAAAATAGGGAGCACTGCAAGTGACAGAAAGAAGAGGGAAATAATAACCAATAATTGCAGCAATACTAAAACTCCAAACATGTAAAAAGTAGCCAATGTTGGGGGCTTCATATGACTCCAGAAGGTAATGACTTGCACAGCAAATGGAAACCACAAAAGAAGGGAGAGAAAATAATTCTAGAGGAGATTAAAGAAGCGTCTACCTAAATTAACATTCTGCTTATTAATACCCATTACACATAGGCCCCAACTACTTTCGGGTATGTGGTTTAAACTGAAGCAGCATCTCTGCTGACCAAGCAGATTAACTATGAAATTCTACAGACGAGATCATTGTTCTCCAGGCATTCTCATTTCCTACAGCTGGAAGTGGGTTAAATCAATCTGAAGAAGTCTCACAAAGGTGTAAAAAATATTTTTTACCCTGTTGGGCTTGTGTGCCTCCCCCTGATCTCTGTACCTATAAAGGGTATCTTCTATCTGTAAAGAATATATCCCTTACAGCTAGGGTGGAGGAGTGACGACAAGGAGGAATGCTACAGATATAAAATGCTTGTAGTACATGCTTGTTCCTCAAAGCTCTTCTCTCAGAAATCTATCTTTAAAGACTTCATAGTGTTTTTTTTAAACCACTAAACTAGAATTCAGGGTTAATCATTCAAATAGAAATTTTTAGGAAATAACATGAGGTTGTTGTTTAAAGACTAGACATAACCCTTTCAGTACAAACATTCATAAAACTAGATTAGCAGTACTTTAATATGGAAGTCATTGGGTAAAGCTACAAGAACTACCGAAAGCTTTCTAAACCTACCCGTGATGTGGCATCAGATTGAAACTCAGTTTCATGTTGTAACACACAGTTATGGTAAAATGAGACACAGGGGGTGAGAAAATGGTGGGAAAAGCACTTGGAATGGGAAAGAGGTAGAACCCTAGAGAGCAGGACTTCCCCTTGGTTTGACTTGCTGTTTGCATCTACCACCACATGCCTGGGCCCCTGAACTGACATGCTAACAGCCGTGCAACTCCTGGGTGCTTCACAGGAGATCTGAACAGCATGGCTCCCCTCACCAGATGTCTGATGGGGGTGGGTAAGAAAGAATTGTACATTGTATGCGTGAATCCCTCCAGCCTACACCAGCTCCAAGAAATGGAAGGCTCCAAGCTGGTGCGGCTCACCAACACTCCAGGGATGGCTTCTCCAGGAACAAGCACCTGTGCTGGCCAGTCCAGTCCTGGAGAAATCACTCTTGGCCTCCCTTTCTGACTCTAAGGAAACTTTTTCTCTTTGGGCAATTCCAAGGCTGGAATTTGAGTTAAAGGAGGGAGAAGGTACTGCCTATGTGGGGATGTGCATCAAGGTCCAGATCCTGGAGGCTGGCCCACAGGTACTCACCAGAACAATGGTGCCCAGTGCCGGCATAACCTGGCAAGCAGGCACAGCTGAAAGAGCTCCCTCCGTGGTGAATGCAACGGGCCTGTCCAGCGGGAGCGCAGGTGTGACTGCCATCCTCGCAGGGGTTGGCAGGTGGGGCAATCACTGAAAAGAGAAGGCAAAGCTGTCCAGGAGTCCAGACCTGTGGAGGCTGAGCCTCACTCCTCACAGCTCCACCCACAGACCAACAGCATCGACACACCTCAGACCCCACCAGAGTCAGAATCTCAGTTTTAGCAAGATTCCTACGTGGTTCACATGCATATTCACACCTGAGAAGTGCTGGTATCAACTTGTGTTTAATCTATTAAGCAAGAAAATCAAGCTTATAACTCCTTACAGCAATTCCAACACACACACACAGATATACATGCATGCACACTCACACAAAGATATACACACTCACACACAGATGCATGCACACACTCATCCAGATACACATACACACTCACAGAGATATACACAGTACACAAAAACACACATGCACACATACTCAGAGATACACACACACACACACACACACTCATCCAGATACACGCACAAACACATTCACCCAGATACATGCACACACTCACACAGAAATACACACTCACACACAGATACACACAGACACACATGCACACACTCGCACACAGAGATACACACACGTACATGCTCAGTCTCTATTATCATTGCTACTTTGTTATCCCACTGGATTAAAGTATGCATTTTCTCTATTTCATCTACCTCTATCAGTGGGATGAATTTGGAATTCTGGTTCTTTTGGTCAGAAGTGTGTTTTGGAACACTCGAGAGCACGTTGTTGTTGTGGGGCTCTCCGTCTCCTTGTATGGGACAAGCACTTTTTTTTTTTTTTGAGACAAATTCTCAACTATCTCAGCCTATGTACCTCAGGCTGGCCTCAAACTTGTAATCCTCCTGCCTTAGCCTCCCAAATGCTGGGATAACAGGTGTGCACGACCAGGCAAGTCTGGGACAAGCACCTTTGAATTACAAGTCTACCTCATTCTAAGTTAGAGACTACTATTCTCCAGAGCTAAGGTGTTACTTGGGAGGGTCACAGTCTTGTCACACAATGGGACCAAAAATCCCAACTAAAGAGAACAGCCTTCCTTAACAACATCAAAAATACCTAGCTGGGGGAAAACCAAGACGATAAACAAACAGGTCTGAATGGAACTACAGTTTGGTTATTTCAATGTACACTGTCTTTTCGGAAAAAAAAAAAAAACAACATAGCAAATATTCTGGACAGCACGAGTGGAAACATTACTGAATTAAGATCAGAGTTGAGCACTGTTCTCATGGAAGAGAGAAGTACTTCAGTACTCACAGATGCAAGTGTGCTGATCACTAGAAAGCTCGTAGCCGTGGTGGCACTCGCACCTGTAGCTTCCCAGCAAGTTGCTACACACAGAGTTGGGGCCACAGCGATGGATGCCACTTGCACATTCATTGACATCTAAGAAGAAATGAGACCAGAAGAATGCTGCTGAAATCAGGGGTCCTAGAAGTGGAAGGTCTGAAAACTCCATTCTCACCAAATGGGACTAGTGGTTAGTGGACAAAACACAGGATTTCTAAGCATGATATACGAAGGTGAGTTGTAGATCACCAGAACTAATAAAAATTTATATCAAGTCTTTCCAGTGTCACAAGAAGATGGTTTTTAGATAACTAGCCTGAGAATTCTTTAAATGTTTAAAAATTTGATATTTAGAAGAAAAATACACTAACAATTTTTTAAATATGAAGACCTTTCTGCTGCTGCTTTTTTGGGGGAACTTAGTAGGTGAAAGAAACACAATAGGTGAAACTTGAGGCAAACCAGAAGACCTGCTTTTTAGAAAATCTTTAGTAAACCTCAGAGCTACTTAATATAGGCTCAAAATTAACAAAAACTTAAAATATCTAAGAATTATAAAAGATGGCTTCTTTTTTGAAGTCCCAATCCCAAATACCAACCTCCAAACTATCTTTTCAAACCTAACCAGACAAGGCTTTAGTTTTTGAATAAGTGCACCCTGATTAACAGCTGCTAAAATCATTGATCCATGGAGATAGCAAAGACCAGAGACACTTGTCCACAAACATAATCCTGGAGAGAGCAAAGTGAAAACAAGGGCTACATGATAGGAACAGAGAATGTGTCTCTTACCCACACAACTCCGTCCGTCTCCCTGGTACCCGGGCGCACACTCACAGGTGTAGTGGACACCTGTCCCTGGATGGCACCGTGCTGTTGTGTCACACGTGTGGCTCCCATCATAGCAAGGATTCACTGGAGCAGGGTCTGAATTTGCTGCATGGGTAGAGAGGGAAGAAAGGCAGAGTGTGGCTAGTGTAGAGACAATGGCAGGGAAGGAAGGAGAAAAGCCTTTGGAATTGACTATACAGTCAGCTGTGTTTCATGGCACATGTGGAGTATTAATGAATACTAAAATAATTAACTAAAGTATTAATATCAAACCTGCATCTCAGGTTTAAATTCCACAAAGGTCTTGTTTTGCCTACCTGTAACAAGTTTTCTTACTTTCAATAGGTTTGCATCAAGGGAATTAAAAATACCCACCATATCCTTTTATTTAAAAGCGCTTTTGCGCTAGCATTCTCACAATAAATCTGTGTGCTGGCTGTTGTTCCCATTGTGGGTATTCCACAGATAAGTGAGTGCCAGACATGGGAAAAATTACCCAAATCCGCAAAGTCAGGAAGTGGTTCAGCAAGAACTCAACCTCCAATTTTTCTGATTCTAAATTTGGTGTCCTCTCACTAACATTTACTGTTTGCATGGGTAAAATCCAATTAATCAGAAAAATCTTGTTTTTTCAAACGTTCTTAACACCAAATAAAAATGACTTTGCTGGTATATCCTCTTCAGGATTAATCTTGCCCTGAATCCACCCATCCACTAGGTAGTGGTGACTGTTGACGTGAGAAATCTTTCCTGAAGAAGTTTATTTCCAGATAGAATATACTAGTTAATGCTCACTCAGCATTTGTGTGCCAGGCACTGTTCTATGCCCCCACCTCTCTAAATCCTCAGAACTATGTGGCTGGAAGGTGTTATCACAGCTTCATTTGTACTAGAATACAGAGAGGCCAAGTAACCTGTCCAGGGTTATGGTCAAAAGAGGCAGATGGATCTGGGATGAAGCAAAAACCCAAGGAGTCTCATGCCATGCGTTCCACTACTTTGCTTAAACCATTGCCAGAGGAACTTTGGAAAGTGTATAGTCTAAACCAGTGTCACAGGGATAGTGGTGTGGGACGGAGCTGTGGATGTCCTTGTAGATAATGAATGGACAAACTTTGGGTACTTGTTTACTTCTGATTTCTCAGGTGTAAGCTAAAAATAAAAATCTTTATATCTGCTAGAATAGCTAAAAAAAGAAAAAGAAAAAAAAGTCCAACACAATGTGCTTGGAAGGTGATTCCCCCAGTGGTAGCATCCAGTGACTACATTCCTTCCTCCTCAGTGGGGCCACTGTTTATCCTCCTTTGAGGTTTTAGCTTTGTCTCAGTCCCTAGAATTCCAACCTTAGACTCAAAGGAGCCCCCACCCAGTCCAGGTTATACTGACTTGGGCTCCTACCTTGTACTTCTGCACCCGGGACTCTGACATGATAGGCAGCTTTGCGTGCTCTAAATCCTAGCCCCTCTCAACAGTTCTCCCACTACCCCAGAAGCCAGCACTATGGCATCAGTCCACACACTTTGGCAGTGCCACCTGCCATAACTTCCTAGCATAACTTCTAGATCTTCCATTTATAGCTCCCCACCCACCTTACCTTGTGTGAGTGAGACTTGCCCAAAGTAGCTCCCAGTCTATACCCCAAGGGCTGGTTGGCTTAGCCTGCCTCATAAACTGGGCTTCCTCCCAGTCCTTCAGGACATCTGGCTTCTCCCCAACGCTCATATACCCTACTGCCCAAGCTAAAAGCTTCCAGTTTTCTCTATTAGCTGTCATCAACTGAGATGGCCTGGCTGAGACACCCTCACTTTCTGGTAAACTTCTACCATCCACTTCATAAGAAATACCACAGGGTGTTCCTAAATCTGAATACGCCCATATTATCAATTCCCACAGCATTGCTGAAAATAAGGATGGCTATAGGTTTATCCTCAGTTCACATCAACAGCACTGGCTGGAGTAACAGAACCTTTGCCAAAACTAGAGACCAACAAGTGGCCCTTTTCAAACCTGATGAACTTTAGTCAGCATTAGCCTAGCTCCTCAAATCACATAGACATCCCTGGGAGTCCCTCCCTCTGACTTCTTGGCAGACAAGAAGCCAGCCCAGCTCTGGGGTTGTGGCTGCTGAGTTAATCTGAAAGTGTAGACCAAGTTTCTGAGTCGGTCACCAGCCTGTGTTTGAACTGAGAATGACAGGGTCATGTCCTTGTTAAAGGCCCCAAGGAAGACAAGAAACCTGACTCTCCTTCAGGGTTACTTCTCCATTTTAGGAGAAGTTTCTGTATAAAATGCCTGGCATACCTTGCCAAAGGGAGAAGTAACCTTCAACATGCTTTAATTTATAAATACTAATGCTTAGCCTTCTTATACAGTACTTTCCAGCACCACAATTTCACCACGGTACATTCCAGAAAAGATTAGTGAGTTCACAAGGATGTCTTACCACCGTGAGAGGCATTAAAAGAAAAAAAAAAAAATTAAAGGCATTCCAAAGGTGACTCACAAATTTGGACAGGATGCAGTATTGTACTTGAGGCTGAGGAGAAAATGTCCATAATTACATGATACTAATTTAAAATGTAATTAACTCACTGAGAGTCCAGGACAAAATGAAAACGCAGAGCCCCTTGTTAGAAAAGAACGAATTTTAAAAAATTAATAATTTCAGTGATAGCAGAGCATTAAACCAAGCATGGAGCCTTTCTGAGCCTCGGGCCCTATTTGCTGAACGTGGCTTCTAATAATATTTTAATAATACAGTCCTGAAACCATTCCACTACTCATTCTTCATAACTTGAGAGCTCTTCTGTCACAGTAGGTAATGAACAGCAGTACCCTTCCCCAGTCATTTCATATTTCACCCTCGCTGTCTTAAAATGCCTGACTCTGTGACAGGGGATCTGGAACTAATTTACTCATTTAATCAAGAGGGGAAGATCAGTTTCCTTAAAGGACCAATCCATTCAGTCCTCGGCATGGCCTTCTGTCTAAAGTCTCCTAGACTCTGCAGAGGAAAGACAGGAAGCATTCCTGGATCCCGCTCTATGACACCACAAACGAAAGGCAACCCACACTTAAAGCTCAAACAATTGGGACCAAGTGGTGGTGGGGAGGACAGCAAGGGCTACAGGCCTTGCTTACTTACAGGGAAGGACACGCTGACTCGGCATCTAAACCCTAAGAGACCATGTGGTCCCCACACCAGGTGCAGCAGCTGTGCTGTTTACATGCATTCCAGTCAAATGATGGCTCCCTCTGGAAAAAGCAAAAGACTTAAGATACTGCTATGCACCCAGAGGGGTAAAAAGAGGGCTTATATTTGGTGCTTCTCTTTCTTGTTCTACTTTTCCTAGGCAAGTAGAATGAATGAATAGATGAAACATGGTTCAAATGCAAAGGGTTTAAAAACACACATTGCCTCTTTTCAAACTGTGTCTAAATTATGTGACTGCAGTAAAGCCAATAGAGTCCATGTGGAGCAGTGGGGTGTGTGGAGTAAGTGGGGGCCTGCACTGTAGGCCTGGGGGGAGTCCCAGCTCACTGTTACCAGCTGGCACTTGCAATTACTTCACCTCTGCATCATTTCATCATCTGTAGAATAGAAAATGGCAATATCCCCCTATTGGGTAGGGTTGTTGTGAGGATATTCCACCTTTGCCATTTATGAATTATTCTTATTATTTGACTTGGGTGGAAGGGACAGTCATTAAACTCTAAAGACAAATTAGCAACTTGGTAACTGACAGTTTCTGGCTTTCTCTGACCCTTTGTTATTACCATCTGGTCTATCTCTAGGAAAGAGAGACCCAGAGATATATCTATCCCCTAAATAATTCCAGAATCTCAGTTGACTCCATGGCCTGGGAGGTCCTTCCACTAATGGTTGTTTTCAAGGACCTAATGGCTACACCAGAGAAGGGTAGAACTGGACATCTAAAGAAGGACTTTATTTTATTTATTTTTTTTTATGGTACTAAGGTTTGAACTCAGAGCCTCTACCTTGAGCCACTTCACCAGCCCATTTTTGTGCTGGTTTGTTTTTAGATAGGGTCTTGTGAACTATTTGCCTAGGTTGGCTTGAAACCATGATCCTCCTGATCTCTGCCTCCTGAGTAACTAGGATTACGGGTGTGAGCCACCAGCACCCTGCTTAAAGGAAAATTTTTTTCCCAGTAGTTTTTGTTTAATTCTTTCCTTAAGAAATCTGCAACAGCAATCTTTTCCTTCTCAAGTTACACGTTCCTTGAAAATCAACTGAGATTTTCACGCATTAATTCACCACCTTGGAATTCTGTCTCTGGGTGCCCAATGCCTATGCTCCAATCTACTTTCCTGTAACCAAAGCAACCAACTAAACTAACACCTTCAGGATTCTCTTCTCCAGTCACTTCTGCATCCTAGAGAAGAGTCTAGTCCTCACACCTCATGAATTTTCAGCAAATTCACAGAGTTGTAAACCATCACTACAATCAATTATTAGAATATCTCATTGTCCCAAAAGAAACCCTGAACTTTTCCTGTTCCACTGTTATAACCCTACTCCAGGAAATGATTAATCTACTTTCTTTTTGCCTGTTCTGTACATTCTATATAAATGGAATCATGCACTATGCTGTCCTTTGTGACTGACTTCTTTCACTTAGCATGATGTTTTCAAGGTTTACCCATGTTTAGCATGTATCAATACTTCATTCCTTTTGTGGCTGAGTAATATTCCACTGTATAAGCATAACACTTTGTTTTGCATATATTCATCAGCTAACAGACATTTAGGTAGCTTCCTCCTTTTGGCTATCATGAATAATGCTACTAAGTTAGGGTTTTTTTTTTGTTATTGTGTCAAAACACCTGACATAAACAACTTCAGGTAAGATGTATCCATTCTGGTTCATGGTCTCAGAGGTTTCAGTACATAATCTTTGACTCAATTGATTCTGGGTCTGTGGTGAGGCAGAACACTGTGATAGCAGGGCATGTGGCAGAGGTTACTTATGTCATAGCAGACAGGAAGTATAGAGCGAGAAGGGTCCTGGAAAAGATGCAGTCCCAAAGACACACCCCCAGTGACCGACTTCCTTTAGCTAGGTTCTACTTCCCAAAGTTTCCAGCATCCCCCAGAATAGCATCACAAGCTAGGGACCAAGGAACCAAGTCTTTCACACATGAACCTGGTGGGGGGTGGGGGGGTGACATTTCATGTTTAAACCCTAATGGCTGCTATGGATATTTGTGCCGGAGTTTTTGTGAAGCCGTAAGTGTTCATTTCTCCTGAGTATACAGCAGGATACAGCAGTATACTGCTCTGCCAAATGGCACCTTTAACTTGTTGAGAGAGTGCTACTGCTTTTCACAGCAGTTGCACCATTTTACACTCACACAGGTAGTGTGGGTCTCCACACGCTCACCAACACTCATTCATTTAACCATCCATGTGAGGCAAGGAGGATCTCATTGTGGTTTTCTATTTCCCCAGTGGCTAATGAACTTGGACACCTTTTCATGTGCTCATGGGATAGTTATGTAGTTTTTAGAGATTTTTTACCCACCTTTTCATTATATTTGTCTTTTTTATTATTGAGTGGTAACAAGACTGCATATATTCTTCAAAGTATTATTTTATTTTTTTCTGGTTTTGGTTCTTTTCGGATTTTTTGATTTTTAAAATTAGGATATATTCATTGTACAGCGGAGATTCATTGTGACAATTCCAAATAGGCTTATATTGTACATTGGTTAGATCGCCCCCACCATCTCTCCCCCTGGGCCTCCTCTCTGCCCCACTTCAACTGCAAGTGTTTTCATTGTTCTATTTCATACAAGTATATGAAGTCCATCAACCATATTCCCTCACCTTAGTCTCCTTTGTTCACCCTCCCCTCCCACAAGTACTCTTCCACACACACTGTACCTATCTTACAGGCCTGTCTTTCGTTATTAATATCTAAGTCAACGTTCAAGGGGTTTCTCAATGTGTCCCCACAGTGAGCACACTTCACTTTGGTCTGTGCAGCCCCTTCCACTGCTTTCCTTACCCCTCCCTCCCACCCTCCATTTTCAACAGCTTTCAATACACATCCTTAGCGCCTACCTGCACACATGTTACGTATTGTGATATTGTGAACACGCTATCATTCCTTTTCCCTTCCCTCCTCCCCTGAGTTCCACAGCGTAGTTCCACTATTACAAACATGTTCTGCATATGTGTGTACATTTCCATGTTTGTTTTTGTGTATAGATTTACCTTTTGGATCTATCTTCCACATATGAGAGAAAACATACAGCCTTAATCTTCCTGAAGCTGACTTACTTCGCTTAACATGATGCCCTCCAACTGCATCCATTTACCTTCAAGCCACATGGAGTCATTCTTCCTTATGGCTGAGTAAAACTCCATATATATCTATATATCTGTGTGTATATATATATATATATATACACACAGATATATAGATATATAAATCTCACACTTTTCATTTTTACAAGGTATTATTTTAAATACAATCAAAATATTTTCTCTCATTCCATGGGTTATATTTTCACTTTGTTGTATTTTCCTTTGAAGCACAAGCTTTTTAAAAAAAAAATTCATGACACTCATTTTGTTTGTTGCTTATGCATCTGGACATTTGTCAGAGCACCACTTGTTAAGAAGACTCATTTCCCCACTGAATTCTTTTGACATCCTTGTCAAAAAGCAACAGACCATAAGCATTCATAAGTATTTCTGGGTTCTCACCGATATTCCACTAATCTGCTAGCTTATCCATGTGCCAGGACCACACTGTCTTGATCACTCTAAGTTTCAAAATTCAGAAGCTTGACTCATCCAACTTCATACTTCTTTCACAAGATCATTTTGGCTACTCTGGGTTCCTTGAGTTTCCATTAGAACTTTAGAATCAGCTTGTCAATTTCTGCAAAGAAGGCAGCTGAGATTCTGATAGGGATTTGGTTGGATCACTAGATTAATTTGGAAGTATTGCCATATTAACAATATTATAGCTTCCAATTGAAAACCCTGGAACATATTCCCACTTATTTGGATCTTCGCTAATATTTTTTCAAAAAAAATATGTTTCAAAGGACAAGTATTACACTTCTTTTAATAATTTTATTCTTAAGTATTTTATTCCTTTTGAAATGAGATTTCTTAACTCGTTTTTTATTTTCTCATTGTTATTATAAAGATAATTTTGTAAACTGACCCTGTACACTGCAACATTGCTGAATACGTTTATTGGTCCTAATAGTTTCTAAGTAAAGTTCTTAGATTTTCTATATAAAAGGCCATGTCACCTGCAGATGGATAATTTTCCTTCTTCCCTTCCAATTTAGGTTTCATGATTGTGCCTAATTGCTTTGACTGGTCCTTACAGTACTGTGTTGACTAGAAGTGGCAGGATCACGACCCTTGTCTTGTTCCTTACTTAAGGGAAAAATATCCAGTCTCTCCCTATGAAGTATATTGTCAAAGTAGGGTTTTCATATGTGAAGATCATTTTATTTTTCCAGCCCTTAACTCTTTGCCCCACCTTGGTTTGGTGAAATTCTTCTCATTCTTTAAGCCTTAGCTAAAATGTCACTTACTGGGGGGGACATCTTCCCTGTACCTCCAAACGAGTCTATGTCTCCCTGCGCTTCTAACAATTGTAACAAATGCTTGTCAGCATCTCTCCCCGCCTTAACTTGCCCCACCTTGCTCACAGGTGTACCCCTTATTGGTATATATAATTAGCTGTTGCTACAAACCAGCCTCAAGTGCTGTGCTCTATCCCCTGACCTCTGCAGGGACACTGTTGAGGAAGTTCCATTTCTGCTTCTCACCACCTTCAGGATAGACACCTTGCTTTATTCATCCTTACATCACCCGGCAGAGCCTGGCACTCACTCACCCTCACTAACCTCTGTATTATTCCCCCCACAAAAGAAAAGACACCTTACCTTCAACAGGGCCAATATGATTGGTCACAGCAAATCTAAGCACTCCTTCATCTTCACTGTATAAGGCAAAGACGCGGTCTACAGTCAGCTGCTGGGTGGTGGGGACAGCCCGGTGTCTGGGGGCGTGACTGCACTTCTGGTAAGTCACATTTTGATGGACGCGGTAAGACTTTGTTTGGTTGACTGTACCAAAGGTGAGCGAGTAGTCTCTGGAACTTGTGGAGGTCACAGCTGCAATATTTTATAGGCAAATTAGTAAAATTTTAAAACTATTAAATACAATGATGGAGGGGTGAATTCAAATATGATATATTATAAGAACTTTTGTAAATGTCACAATGTACTCCCAGTATAACAATAAGAAAATTAAATACAGAGCTTTTCATGTGGGGTGGGTTTTTCTAGTTTTTCTTCTATTTCCTAGAACACATTCCCTTGGGAACTCCCTGAGTTTATATGGGAAACTTGCAAGAAAGGCCTAAAAACCTGAGTGGATGCAAAGCCACAGTACTCAGAGGGAAGAGGTATTACAATTGCCACTGTCATTATATGTAAGGAATAAAGGCTACCATGTGCCATGATGAAAGCTGTTATCCAGCCTGCCTCATTTATTACTCACACAGCCCAGTAAGGTGGGCACTATAATATGTGAGCAGAAACCTAGAGGGGTCCAGTGAGTAGCGTAAGGTGCAGGGCTGAGATGTGCTAGAGCCTGGATGAACATTCCAGTGGGTCTGACTCAAGACTTGAACCAGCCCAACCCATCACCGAACAGAAGTGACGGCTCCCAACGCCTGTACTTTAAGCGTGGAGCTCCTGGGAAGGCAAAGGGTCATTTCTCTCTGTGGCTGGGCACTGAGCCTGCTGGCCCTGGACTGCTCTGAACACAGTCCAGGTTTCCACATCCCATTCTCTCCCCTCCATCTCTGGTCAGGCTGCCAGTTCTTGCACCATAGGAGAAGCTGGGGCCAGAGGACAGGCGCAACTCCAGTCACACTGCCAAACTGCAGAATAGCAATTGTGCCTGTGGTAATATCTTGCATGCAGCTGGCGTTTCACAGAATACATCACACCTTATACAACTACCAAGCACGTAAGGCAGACAGAAGAGACACTCGTACTCTAATGATGAGAAAACAGACTTTCAGATGTTAAGGGATCCTTCCCACAGATTTTAAATGGCTAGTCCTGGGTGTGAATTCGTATTTTCAAACTCCAAATCTAGTTAGTTTTTTTAACACTACACTTTTAACAACTCAGTTTTATAACACTGCATTTTTAAAGCAGGTTGAAATGATCATCTAAAACAAGGTTATAGAACAAATTCCAATAATCAATATTCCACACTCCAGAGGGTAGCATGGTTAAAAACTGTATAAGATTATACCACTCCTGCCCTACCCCCACAATGCTAGGATATTATTTCTACCTGAAAGCACTGTGTAAGACTAAGGACATGCTTGGCTACAGCAGCCAGCACGCCGCTCACTTGAACTAGGTATTTCATAGCACCATACTGTGCTCTCGGACAGGCCATAGGTAGACAGTCCATGTAGGTGGGCAGTCCATGTAGTTACTCATATAACTCTTGTAACTCTCTTTGTGAGATGATTCCATCCCCGTTTCACAGACGTGGAAACTGGTTACACATACCTGAGTCCGAGTAATGGTAAAGCTCTTGGTAAGGAGCAACGTGGACTGTGAAATTTGCTGGGACGTGGGGTACCTGGCCTTGAATCATGGTCTTAATGCTCAGGTAATTCTCTGAGTCGAGCCCCTCAGCACTTTGAGTGATACGAACCCTCTCCTCTCCTGGGTAGAAAGTAACTTCAATGTCTTGGGTAAAGGTAGCACCTGGAGAGGACGAAAATTCAGCACAGGGGTGAAAAGAGGCCCCGATGAAATCATCACCAGGACTGGCTGGGGTGTGGGGTTAGAGCGCACTTGTCTAGCATATGTGAGGGCATGAGTTCAATCCCTAGCACTGCAAAATAAATTACTTCCATTATATACTTCCTCCTCCCAGCTTCTATTGCTCTTGGAGATGGTGCCAAGGGGATGATCTGCATCCTTCAGCTGTTGATCCCCTCAGTTCTCCACATTTTCAAGTATAGTCTTCCTTCATCCTGCCTTACCTTGCATTGTTCCTCTTTACAGGAGCTATATTCTGTGAGAAATAAACTCTTGGGAACATCCTGGACTCACATCTTTCTAAGGTTGCCAGAATTAGCAAAAATAAACAAGCAAGTAAAAACAAAACACAAAAATCCCCATAAACCAGAATATCCAGTTAAATTTCAGATAAACAATGAATGTATTTTTCATAAATGTCCCATGGAATATTGAGGGCATGCTTATACTAAAAATATTTATTGTTTATCTGAAATTCAAACTTAACTTAGTGTACTTATTTTTTTGCTGGTGAAACTAGGGCTTGAACTCAGGATTTCAGGCTTATGAAGTAGGCACTACCATTTGAGCCACACCTCTAGTCTATTGTGCTCTGGTTATTTTGGAGATGAAGTCTCATGAACTATTTCCCCAGGCTGGCCTTGAATCTTGATATTCTCAACCTCAGCCTCCCAACTAACTAGGATAACAGGCATGAGCCACCAACACAGCTGGCATTTTCTCTACTTTTGACCGTGGTTTCACTCAAATCTTGATTAAAGGCAAGATCCTTTAAAAAGGTGTTAAGTTCTGCAGTGGAGGTGGGGAAAGAACTTTCTCACAGTACACACAATAAAGCAAACAAGCTTTTTCAGGCAGGTATGTGAGAAACCAGTGTCCCCCACACTGGCTGTTAAAGGAAGGCCCCTGATCAGCAGCCCTGACCTCTCCTGGGGGCTTGTTAGAAATGCACTCACAGTACCCACCTCACACCTATTGAATCTGAGCTTGCATCCCATAGGCTGTCCAGGTAATCTGTGCACAGATAAAGTCTGACAAGCACTAGCCTGTATTACTACAAGTAAGGGACATGCACTTACAAGAGGAAGAAAGATACCCACCCCCATGAAGTAAAATCCTCTCTCGATGCCTGATAGGTACACCATTTTTGCATCTCTATCTGCCAGATCTGTACACCAGAACTCAAAGCCTGACAAATATGCTTCAACAAATTGGAGTAAAAAACACAAATGCTCCAAATGGAATCATTTTTTTTATTTCTCAGAATGGCTGGGAGAATACTTACACGCAATCATTTTAAAAATATCAGTTGTGCAAGGCCAAACCATTCCCAATTAACCTTGGACAGATAGCCACACATCTGGGGCTCAAGGATAAGTAGATCCTCCTTCCCTGTATAAAAAAAACCTCCAGTCATCACCTCAAGGAGCAATACTGCAAAAGCAGTGAAGACCACCCTCACCTGTGAGACTGAAGCCGTTCTCAGAGCCTGGTTTTTCCAATGCAAAGAGCCAGCCAAACAGGCCTCCGATTGGAGTGAGGGGAGAAGCGCCTGGGCTGCAGGCCGTGGAATGTGGCTGATAGCTGTGTAGGCTCTGCCATCATTACCCACGATGTAAGCATGCAGGTCCACATTGGTGAAATGCACGTACGTGTGGCCCACATGGAGGTGGCCACTCACTTTCCCGTTGACTCGATGAGGTGCACCTGAAAGACAGAAAATCCAATCAGCCTGGACCATGGACCAGGATGCGGATTGGTACACACAGACAAAATAACTCCACTCACAACTCCCAAACTCACTCTTCAAGTCATCTAATGATTCCCTAGCCAATTATCCAAACATGAAACAGGCCCAGAGCCATCTGCAATCTCTTCTCCCCTCTTCCTCTCTCCTTCCCTTTTGGCTCTATGAAGCTAAGAGGCAGGAAAAAAGGAAACCTCTCTGAACCTATCTGTTCATTTACTGAGCACCTGCAAAGTGGCTAGCACTTTGATTCAAGCAGTGGAGATATAAGGCCACAAGCTGAGCTTGCAGGGGTAGCTGGAAAAAGGCAGGCCTCGGGAAGACAAATGGAGCACCCCTGCCCATCAGTCACCTTCTGGCAGACAGTGCTTCCCATTTCCATAAAACCTGGACTGGCAGTGGCAGCAGAAGCCGGTGGCGTAGTCTGTGCAGAAGGCATGCCGGGAGCACTGGTCATGGTTGTGCTCACAGGTTTCCTTCCTGGCAGCATTATACGTGAAGACTGAAAAATAAAACAAATCTGCATTAGGCATAGGGTTCCAGCATCCTTGCGGCCAAGCTTCATCAGGGACACCGCCTCTGCTCCATTAAATCAGTTTGGATTGTAATAAACAAAGATTTCTGATGTTTAAGAGGCAGGACTAACATCCAACCCAAGGGAATTAACTAGCTTTGTCTTCTTGGCAAGAACTGCAGTTTCTGTGGCCACGTGGATTTTACTGCAATACTAGGGAGCTAAGGCTGCCAGTGCGTAGGTGCACATTAGGGTGAACTTCATGGAATCGCTGCTTTGGGGGTCAAAAATGACCAAATATCACCCAGGCTGTATGGTATACACTAAGAGTAATGAGCAGGTGAGCTAACAATTGGAGTCTATGCCTAACCATTCTCTTCTTTTAGGTAACCCTGGATTTTAAAAACGTAATAGGCTATAGCTGCTCTCATTACCCAGACTTTTATTTTTGAGAAAGAAGTACCTTGAAGAATGTACACACACCTATCTTAAAGGAGGAGGGGTGAGCTGGGTGCTGGTGGCTCACACCTATAATCCTAGCTACTTGGGAGGCTGAGATCAAGGATCGAGGTTTAAGGGCAAATAGTTCAGGGGACCCCCATCTCCAAAATAACAAAAGCAAAATGGGCTGGAGGTGTGGCTCAAGCAGTAGAGCTCCTACTTCACCAGTGCAAGAGTCCTGAGTTCAAACTCCAGTCTCACCCACCCCAATGCTCCCAAAAAAGGAGGAAGGGTGGAAGAGGGAGAAAGAACAGAGAATCAAGCTGTTAAAATGCTCTCCCCCCTTGCAGGGTTTGCTGGGATGGGCCCAGCAAGACATGATCTCCATGCAATGGTAGAGGGCTACAGTTATAGGCCTTCTAGAAACCACGGTGGACCAGGGCAAACCTGATGCTCCAGCCACTATTATTCACACCTCCCACTTACTCTGCCCATTAAATAAAGGAGGGGCAAGTGAGCCACTTACGCTACAGAAAAAACCCAGGGGAATTAGAGCAAATGCCATTGTCTATAGAGCAAATGGCCAAAGTGATGGAGTTATGTCAGGGGTCACAGATGGGCACAAGGGTTGCCAGGACACTAGGGAATATGCCAATCCCAAGCATGGCCACCAGGAGGCAAAATGGCTCCCTGGAGACTTTAGGATGACACAGAATTCTAGTGCAAGCCACTATGTTCCTATGCAGTGCCATCTCCCAAGGACACCCTCCTTGTAGGAAAAATACTAGGTCATAGTTGTATTCCTGGTCCAGATCTAAAAAGGAGGAAAGAGAAGGGGAAGGAAGAAATCAAAAGATCAATATTTACCCAGCATTCCTGGAGAGAACAGAAAACAAACTAACCAGAGAAGATGTAACACCATATCCTTCACAATATGGCAGCATAAAGACTTGTATCAGTAAGTAAAAATATAACAAAGTTAACATTTAAATAGTGCTGACTAGACACTAGTCTTTCACCAGCTTTACATTTAACTCTTTTGACTCACACAAGAACCTTTAATCTCTGCTGTTCTCAGATACAGAAACCAAGGCAAAAAGAATTAAAGTGACTCACCTGAAGCCCTGGACAAAGGTGGACCTGAACCCAGGGAGTCTGGCCTCTAAATCTTAAGCGCTACTCTTCCCTGCCCCCCTGTGGGACCCAAATACATACAACAGGAGCACAAGATTAAGGATGTGATCAGGTGGTGGGATTAGCCAGCATGGGCTCTAGGAAGTAAGGTGGGAGTCAGACTTTACAAGTCAGGCTTCATGGTAGGAGAGAGATTACCCAGGTGACCATTACAGCATGTTTTCAACAAGCCCAGGTAAGAAGTAGTGAGTGTAACAGTAGCGTTAATTAATTTTTGGACAGTTATATAAGTGCTATTTACATATCCTTGAAAAAGCCAGCTGAGAGATTGGCAAGTCAAACAGATAACCTTGATTCAAGTGGAAAAATCTGAAAAGGAACCTAGTGAGAATGGAGTTAGTGACTCAAGATTTGGTATAGGGCCCTGATGACTTGGCTGAGAAACTCCACTGACTTAAAATAGAAAATCATGCATAAATTCACTTTTTAAAAAACAGAAAAGTGACAGGCATAGCTCAACTTGTTTTTAAACAGGAAAATGATGAAACTCAACACAGAGTAAAAAAAGAATGAATCATGATAAAAAAAAAATTACAATGGCTTCTATCACTGTATTGTTGTGGGGTTTGGTTTGGTTTGTTGCTGGGGATGTAGGAGCTCACACATGCTATGCATGTACTTTGCCACTGAGTTATATAAACCCCCAGCTCTCAAAAAAAACATTTTGAGCAAAAAGAAATGAATGTAACAGGTGTGTCACAATTTGAGGTTCCTCCAGCTCAGAAAGTCACAACTAAGTGTAAAGTTGCAGCTCCTCGAGGGACAGTCGAGTGTCCTCACGCTCACCAGTGTCCTCATGAGACCAAAATGGGAGGAGGGGCTGTGGAAGGTCCCATGCTCCCAGACCCCAGTTCTGCCCCCTTCAGTGGCTCTGTGAAACCTGAACACACCCTGTGTCAGCTCCTCAGCTCTGAAGTCAGGGTGCCCTGACCCCCTTTTCTCACACCTGTCTTGGCAGAAATCAGTTTTCCTTACTTCCTGGCATCCTGAGCACAAGGCAGTCTGCTGCAGGTCTAAAGGGTTCTGATTTTCAGGAAATTCAGATAAAAGCAAAACTCAATGTGACACACTGTGAAATGTGCATTCCCTCTATTTCTGTTCTTTTGTGAAGACTTGTTCTCTGGCCAGTCCTTACTCTGACACTGGATTATGAATCAGGGAGAGGTGGATGGAAGAGACACCGAGGCAGAGAGGCAGGTTAACGTAAAACTACCAAACTAGGGGTGGTCATAGCTTTTAGACAAGGTAAAAGGTGACAGGCACAGCCACACAGCCAACCACTTATACAGGCTACCATGTAAAGGGCTCTAAGGAAACCAGGTATGGGTTTTGTTACAAAAATAAATAAATAAATAAAAGCTTAGGCTTGCATGAAAGCCTATTGTAAGACTCAAACTATAATTATGACGGTTAACTAGTTATTGGTAAGCTAACCTGAGGATTGTTTCTAACAGTTTTTTATGGAAAACTGTACTTTTAGGATGGAACTTACTGAGCCAAGCACACACTCACCCCTTCCAGCTCATTAGTGTGGTTAGTGAGTTTAACCTGGCCACTTAAATAGCCACTGTGGCAGACAGAATATCAGACAACGCTCTTGTACTAATTCTGGCCATCTTCCTAAAAAGTGGTGCTCCGTACTTTCAGCCCAGTTGAGCCTCAACCTATAGGAATGCAACAGGAGGATCCTCAGCACAGCAGCCAAATCCCTCCCTGATGAAGAGGGAACCCTGTGGCAACACACATCCCACACATGCCTATCCATCCAGGGCAAGAAAAGCCAGACTTCGGGCCAACATGACATCTCAAATTCCTGTGGGAAATTTTTGTTCAATTCATTGAAGGCTTGGAGTCAAGGTCTGGGTCCCAGGGCATGAGATGTGCAATGAGCAGATGCAAACACAAAATGGCACTTTCTTTTCAGTGCAATTTGTATGCGCTTTACATCATTGTTTGTATCCATTTCCACACCTTCTTCCTACTCTGGTGAGGACATATTCCATCCATTTTACAGATGTGAAAACTGAGGCCCACAAAGATTAGACAATCTTCTGGTTCAAAATCCTGCCCTCTTCCCATCACACCAGCAGTCCACAAGTCCAGTGGGCATTAGAATCGCCCAGGACCCGGTTTTAAAATGCAGATTCTGTTTCAGAAGATGGAGGAGGAAGAGGAAATCAGTGTTTTCAACCAGGGGCCAGGTGAGGTACAGGAGGTAGAGAAGAGATCACACTTTGAGAAACCTGGTTTTTGCTCCATGGCCTCCTCTCTTGACCTTTCCCACAAAGCAGGCTGTGGCCAGACCCTCTGGGCCCCACACTCTGCCAGGGAAGGAGCTGCTGTCACCAAGACTCCGAGTGATACAGAGCAGTCTGCTGGCATCTTGGGCACAGTGCAGGGCTGTTGCTGCCAGGTTTAAATGAGCCCAATTTGCTACAGAATTGTCAGCAAGGTTTGATTGTTGCTAAAGGAATCTCAACATGAGGACTTTTAAAATCCCATTTCTTCTGAATAATTCATTGCTTAATGAACAATGGGTCATGGATGAAATAAAAGAGGAAATTAAAAAGTTCCTGGAACTCAATGAAAATGAAAACACAACCTACCGGAACCTATGGGACACAGAAAAGGGAGTCCTGAGAGGAAAGTTTACAGCCATGAGTGCATATATTAAAAAGACTGAAAGATCCCAAATCAATGACCTAATGATACATCTCAAACTCCTAGAAAAACAAGAACAAGCAAATCCCAAAACAAATAGAAGGAGAGAAATAATAAAAAAAAACTGAAATCAATGAAATAGAAACCAAAAAAACCATACAAAGAATTAATGAAACAAAAAGTTGGTTCTTTGAAAAAATAAACAAGATCGAGAGACCCCTGGCAAACCTGACTAAAATGAGGAGGGAAAAAACCCAAATTAGTAGAATCAGGAATGCAAAAGGGAAGATAACAACAAACACCATGGAAGTCCAGGAAATCATCAGAGACTACTTTGAGAACCTATATTCAAATAAATTTGAAAATCTTAAAGAAATGGACAGATTTCTAGATACATATCATCCAAAACTGAACCAAGAGGAAATTAATCACCTGAATAGACCTATAACACAAAATGAAATTGAAGCAGCAATCAAGAGTCTCCCCAAAAAGAAAAGTCCAGGACCTGATGGATTCTCTGTTGAATTCTATCAGACCTTTAAAGAAGAACTGATACCAACCCTCCTTAAACTGTTCCACGAAATAGAAAGGGAAGGAAAACTGCCAAACACATTTTATGAAGCCAGTATTACACTTATCCTAAAACCAGGCAAAGACACCTCCAAAAAGGAGAACTATAGGCCAATCTCCTT